TAATTCATTGTAAAGAATAAAAATATGTCACTTTCCAGATGCGTGTTGGCAGAATATTGATGTCAATCATCATTAGGAATGAAAACGTTTGATTTTTCTGGAATATTACATCATTTATACCATAAGAACCGCTACCGCAAAATTTTCAGAAGAGATAATGAATCAGTCAGGTTATTCATCTTTCTTTCTAACATCGAAGTGATGTGTGAAACAAAATGCTCTCTTCAATCAGCTCAAATCATATATAAATTTATATTCTACAAATAACGAAGTTAAAAAAAAATAGTCATAGCTGAAAATAAATTGGACGAAATCTTCTTGCTCTTGAAGAGGGTACACAGAGAGAGAAAGAGATAAAAGAGAGCACAAACAAATCATTAGTTTGTTTCATCAGTTCGGACTTCCATTGTCTAATATAATATACATTGATTTGATAACCCTGAAAAAAATTCAAAAGATTAACCGAAAATAACAATTTTATCAAACTGAAAACTGAAATTACGAAGAATTAACATACAACAACAACCAAACAAAAAATGATAAAATAAAAATTAAAAGATTTCAAACCAAGTTATGTCACAACGTTTCGATTGTTAGTATTCACAATCGTCTTCGGGTGATGAGTAGACTTATTCCTCCGAGACCTGACTATTTATAGGTCATTCGAGTGCTTTCACCTATCCCCTTTTCCCTCTTCCCGCTTCATTGGTTTTGGCGGGAGATGACCGTTTGGCGGGAGTTGGACGTTTTTCGCTTGATTAGAGGTTTCCATATGTTATGTATCTCTACGTTTTCAAATCAATTTATATTATATTAGACAATGGAAGTCCGAACTGATGAAATACACCACGACAACTTGCCAACCACCTTCAAACAAATCATTAGTTTGGTATGCATTGAGGGAAAGAAATGCTTTTACGTTCCTGTGCAAATGGTTTTCTGCAGTTGTCGAGATAAATTTGGTTATTACTCAAGAGTAAAATTTCAAAAATACTACAGAGATGTTGTAACAACCTCGATCTTAGTGAAAAAGGGTGTTAAATTCTTTAAACTAGAATTTGAATGCCACAGCTCATCGGAGAGGGATGTTGGGTAAAAGAATTTTCAACTAAAAATTGTATAATATATTCCCTTCGACGATGTAAACGAATGTGAAGGTAGTCACTACAAGCTTGTTGTCCAGAAGTATACTTTTGGGTTACAGTGATAAGGTAAGTAACCTCAGTTGGTCGCAAACTTATGAATCAATCACAGTTTCCTCTTCAGTATCCAAGTTGTACCCTTCATTGACTGGGACAGATTCAATTCGGTTCCTGGGTTCAATGTCTGGTACGAATAAATGAGGAAAGGTCTCATTTGTCACGGAGTGTAGGAATAGCCAAGTCGAGCTACCAGCAATACGATGTAGGTTCTTCGTAAACAGTAGCGCTAATTCCAAACAGTAGTGCTAATTTCAAAAGGTAGCCTGCTCCTGGAGTGGTATAAATGTCACCCTTCCAACAATGTTGACATCACTGGATGATTTCTGTTGTAGGCTGCCGGAGGCAGAATCAGAAAGATTGAGAGTGAAAATTAAAAGACCTCGAAGGAGAAATCGGTCAAATTAGCATGTTCTTTTATTTATACTCGAAAGAAGGATCTTTACCGTGGATGATGGATGGCCTTACTAGACTAGATTGTGAAAATCGAAGTATTTCACGAATATCTCCAAAACAGTAGGTATGTCATACCTTCAGAAAACAATAATATTTACTCGTGTTTTCCATTTTGATTCCTAGAATCCACAAATGTGTGGAGCTGAAATACTTGCTCAGGAAATTATAAACCAAACTTCTCTCGATTAGATAAAATAATGAACCTTTTTTTTCCCTTGAAGATTAGGAATTTTGCTCCATGGTCGAGCTTATCTGATCACCCTGAAGAACATGGAATTTGACAAGAAATGATCAACTGAAAGGTGATTGCTATGAATGTATTATACAGAGTAATTGTACTTATTATTAGTATTGGATACATTTCAATTATTGGTATAAATTTTGTGTAATAGTGGAGTGCATATACTGAAAAATTTAACGTGTACTGGTATTTTATTTTGAAATGATACATAGAACCGTAACAATGGTCAATTCTGCCTATTCAGAAATGAGAAATGAGATGAGAAATGAGATTCCATCTTCCTGGAAGAAATACGAAAAAATTATGAAGAAAGGAACAAAGTAATTGATTTTGAAAAAACAACCAACAGGGACGTGTAGATCATCCATTGAAGTCACTTTCAGGTAGAAACTGGAAGAAAAAGCCCTCCAAATAACTACTTCTCCATAAACATTGAATTACACGAATGAAGTATTCATGAAACAACTTCTTTCATATGTACATTGAATTATAGAAAAAAATCTTTTTTATTCAGTTTGTTCTCCAAACATTCGTTATCGAATCGAATCAGATATCATTCACAAGAAAATCACATACGTTTTTGCTACCTCTTGAACATTTACTGCAAAGCAGTCGAGTGGGGATTTTTCCAGCAAAAGACGAGACGAGATAGACTGTACGGAATCATTCAATCCAGAGCGGCCAGGAGTATTGATTCCGCTATTTGTTTGTTCCTGAAGAGTATTCAACAAAAACCCCAAGAATTCGGAGCAATCCTCTTGTTGTCCTAACGAGTATATAGTGGACTTCAAAGACTCCAGGAAATCGGTTGGTGGGAAAGATGATACTTTCTTTCGAAACTGCAACTGCATGAACAATTGTTTGAGTTTGGTGAATAAGTAGGAAACATTCTCGTTCTCCATTAAAACCTCGTTCTTGAAATTCTTCATTATGAACAACACTTGTAAAATGCTATTCATGTAGCAAATGTTTCCTGAATTATCGAATCCAATTTTTTTCCCAAGATTTTCAGGACAACTCTACTGATTCGTAAAGAAGAACATGTTTCACAGAATATGTATCAGAACCATTTCTCAAGCTGCAATCGATCCTTTCAAGTGATGAAGGGTTTCGTAATGGGATCGATTCGGCCCTTGCTTCATGAAGCTTTTTCACTGAAAAGTAACCAGAACCAAAGTCCGTTAACCGCACTGAAAAAAAAGAAGGTGTATCAACCACTTGCGAATTAACCTTGGTAGGAGACTGATGAATATACACATATCTCAGCTTGTTTCGAAGATATTTTAGTTCCATATTGAAATGAGGGTAATTATGTGAAGGAGGAACAGTTTCAAGGGCCAAAGCAGCATTACCACGTTGAATAGCAATACTAATTTTTTCTATCAAAGAAGAAGTGGAACGGTGATCTTTAGAGTTCAAGAATGAATAACAGAGACTCCGGACCATAAATACCAAAATTTTCAACAGCCACTTTTCTCTATAAAAAATTTTATTTTAGAAGGCAGTCTCTTTCATTCCTAAAACCCAAATTCTTCGTAAAAGTTAAAAAATTCAGGTTCTTAGAACGGAAAGGAAGTACTTTTTGAAACGATAACTGTTCATAGACGGTAACTAATTGGTTGATGAAAATGAAAGCTGTTTAACAGTCAGGTCCATTTCAAGTCATTTCAACCCATTAAACTATTGTTATGGATGGTTTCCGGGTTTTGCCGTGGTCTTCTTTAGTTATGATTTCCAAACATTTCAACTGCAACTGTGGCAGTTATCTTCAGTGGCATGGTCGAACTACATGTCAATTGAAACTGAAGCTTCCTTTTCTGCCGTGTCATTTATAGTACCGATTTTTCGCGAACTTTCTGTAATGATGAGTTCGCGAGTAGTGAGTACTTCCCGCGCGATTTGGTTGTTTTGACTTCGTTTAGGCCCTTTTCAAAGATATGTGCCAGATCCTTGGTAGATATGTTCTCTTTTTCTTTCTGTTGAAGTTCTCTTGGTGTATGTGTATTCCTATGGCTTCTAAATGCATTATTTTTGAATAATAGTTCGAAGTTGCTAGCCTCTTGGTATTTTTAAACAGGATTTTCAACAGAAAGGAAGAGAGAATATATCTACCAGAGATCTTTTTGAAATACAGATTTGAAAGGCGCCAAAACGAAGCCAAGTGAACCAAATCGCGCGGGAAGTACTCGCCAACCCGCCATTTCAGAAAGTTCGAGAAAAATCAGCACTATAAATGACACGGCGGAAATGGGAGCTTCAGTATCAGTTGACATGTCAAGAAGAGTATTTCCACCACGCCACTGAAGATGACTGCCGTAGTTGCAGTCAAAACGTTTGGAAATCATAACCAAAGAAGAATACGGCATTGTCTGAATCATATCATCATGATCGACAAAATTTATTAACATATAGATGTCGAATGGTTTTATTACGTCTCAACTTCTTGAAGTGAATTTTCAGTTTACATTACATTCACATTACATGAGCAGGGACTCTTAATCCTTCATTCATTTTCAAGGTTATGAAATGTCGATTCATTAGACTTCGAAACGTTGACATTGATTCATACATTCAGGAAATATTTTTGAAAAGACCTCATCAATCAACCGAAGATTTTAAATTTACTTTTGTAATTAGAATATTTGTTGCAGTTTGAATTAGAAAGGTATTAGAATATTCTCTAACTATGTCTATATCAAATCTTTCGCTTGAAAAATCAGGAGTTGAAACTTCCTATGTTTCAATATCACTTGTATTTGTAACTAATGTTACTGTAGTTTCGTCCTAGAAGTATATTCTCAAAGGAATACAATAAACTGAAATAATTATGAACCCCTTATATACTTATTCAACATTGTGGTACATTAGGTGTATTGATAATTATTTCAGTTCAGAAATGTTCTTGTAGAATGAAACTGCCGGCACATTAGTAACAAATACAAGTGTTAACAAAAAACATTGAAAGTTTCATTTCTCATTTTTCATAATGATCTACTACGTGGTAAGATCCATCAATTCATTGAAAGCTTTCACTTATGCCAACATTAACATTACAATATTATGAAAGATCATTTGAAAATAATCAATTATTTTTATCATTTCAGTACCAAGTTTACTCAAACCGCAAATTCTTCTAAATGGAACGGAAGACATCGTAGATGCAAACACAAACTACTCTGCTTTTTGCCAAGGCCAAAAACCTCTGGTATGGAAAACACCACAAGTTGATGTAAGTTAAAGTTCTGTCTAAATTTTGAGATGAGATTTCAGAAAATATATTACTCCAAAGAAACTGAAGACAATGATCTAAAAAAACTTAACAAACCTGCTCAAGGAAAACAGAAAGTTCTCCGGTTATTGAATGAAATAAATTTATGAATAAATACCGACAAAAATATTACTATCGACATGATGTTTCTTTTATTAATATTACTTCCATTGATATAACTGTTTTAGTTTGATCTTTCAGTTTGATATTCCTTTTGGTGATCGAAACACGTGTCGAGGTGTCAAAATAACGTTTGGTGTTGAGAAAAAACTCCAGTAATATTCATTACTACACTAAAGGTTCCAAATAGTGCATCACAAGTTTGTTTCATTTGATAAAGATGAATACACCTTCTTGCAGGGATTACTGAATGTGTACATGTGAAAATACATTCGAAAAACAAATATTCGACTCAAACCAGTGCTGAAAAAAACTGAGCTCGAAACTTATACCTACAAATTCCACATCGACGTTGATGAAACCAGACGGGAGGCACGCAAGAAAGAATTTTCAAGTTCACATGGCGTAATCGATAAAATTATTCAGAAATTGCGACTGTTCGAAATTATCAATGAAAGTCTTCATGACAGGCGTGTAATATCTAGAAGTAACGTTGTATCAGTAGAAACATGTGCTTCAATGAACCGATTTATATAATCTATTGCAGTGAAACAAATTCAACATTCGAACAACATCATGGAAAGATGTTCATAATCTGAGTTTAATGTCACCAAATTATATAAACTTCTTCTCAGAACATTCAGCAGAAAATGGAAGTTATCAGTTTTTCAAGACCTGATTCAAAACAATTTTTTTTTTGTCATCAAGAAAACCACAAGGTTTTTGGAACACACAAATGTGTTCCAAATGTGAGGAATTGGGAGTGAAGCTGAAAAATTCCCCAATAACCAAAGACGATTTGTTACTGCTGAGCTCCTGGTATATGAACGTCGAGCATTGAAATTTCACAGAAATATAAAAGGTACTACTGAAGAGAAAGGTAGCACGATTCTGAGATTTAAATTTGATTAAATGCATAACTTTCCACCCCCAGTTCCTCCAGTCCAAAAATTTCTGTCAACTTTGAGTGAATGGAATTTGTATCGACAATATAAAAATGGGTAGAAGAACACTTAACTTTCATCATATTTGAATAACTATATTCAGTGCAACATTCCCAAATGAACAATAGAGTTGCATTCATTTTGCGATGGTTGTCCTGGCCAAAATAAGAGTAGTGCTAGGATTAAATTCCTTTTGGTCTGGTCTGTAAGTCAAGTTCCAAAATATTTCATTTTCTAAAACGAGAACACTCCTTCAAAGATTGCGACAGAAACTTCACTACTGGGAAATATAGAATCAAAAACAGTTGATCGTTTATTGATTGATTATTAATTATCATTGACACTTAGATTCACTATGCCCCAGTACGGAAAAATACGAATATCTCGTCAAAGCTGTCATATATGACGATTTGTCGATATTATACTTCACAGCTTGGTCGAAGGTTTTTTAAGGACTGAAAACAAGCACTACCAGAAAATCCTTAAGGCTCTCCAATAGCGGTGCCTGTGCGAAAGTAGCGGTTCAAGTTGGATTTGAATCGCTGCATGTCAAATTCATTTAAAAAAACGTTATCAGGAAGTTTATCTCACATACACGTAGTAATCTAAATGAAAAAGTTCTGAAGCAGTGAAGTTCGAGGTGTACTGAGTTGAACTTCAAAACGATGAGCAGCACCAATCCGTCACGTATTACTGATATGTACCGCTCTTGGTGGAATCAAATGTGCCAAGTCACTTGAACTGCTCCCGTGAAAGTATCTATTAAAGAGAGATAAATCTCCAAGCTTTCTTCGATGTTCCAGACTATCAATGTTGCAAGTGATGTTCGAGTCTTCAATCAGGCGGATGGCTCTTTTCTAGATGAAATTCAACAGTTTCACGGTATTCTTAAGGGCGGAGATCTATACGTGAAAACGATATTCCAAAGAAGGTCTGATCTGAGCTTTATAAATCATCAAAAGTTGCTGAGGTGTGTACAGTTTTCTAGTTCGGAACAGTGTTCCGAGCTTTTAAGAAGCATCGTTTGCAATTGTGTGTCCATTTTAACCCCCCAACAAACAAACAAACATTGTAGCAGGAAGCGGAATTGTCCGTCCTGACGTCATTATATCCAGTTCGGAGACATTTATCTCGTTGGAGAAAGCTTCAAGGCAAAGCCATTATGAGAAAGATATCACGAAAAAAGTTAATGAAGGAGACAACGTTTCCCTTCATGTATTGGTTTGTTTCGAAATATTTTTCATCCTGATAAACTCACAGAAGCTCTGTGCCACTCCTTCCTTGATAACGATATATAAAACGAACGTTTTGTCCTGTCAAAAATAAAAAGTATCTGTGCAAGTATTCCTACCATAGAAAACTTTTCGGCTAACTCATCACCTGTACTAATCAGTTTCTTGAAAATCATTGACATAAAAAAGCTCAAACAATATAGTTCCGGAGAGTATGAAGATTTTTCGCAAATAGTTTGCCATGGCCAACAGCAGTAGTACCAAGAGAAGAAGTTGAGAGAGATTTTTAGAGCTCACTATTGTTCACATCACAGTCACATTCTCTATACTTTTTGAAACATGATGCAGTATTTTTTTCATTATTTTTTTCATTGAAAAATGTTCACCTCTATTATCCTAGGAATACACTGAAAAAGACAATATCCTGTTGAATATAGCCTTATTTTTCAAGTCAATAAAATGAAATGAAGCAACATGAATAATGTTGAATCAATATGAAATCATCGAGGTATTTAAACATTCGATATTTTTCAATTGAATAATAATTACTGATTTCCAAACGGAAAAATCAGAAGAGTTCTATATCGCATTCAATCAATTACTGTAGTATTATTGATTGCCATCAGATACAATATAGTTACATAAATTCTCGAGAAATTTTGAACAAATGATAGTCTTCAGTTTACTTTTATTATGCGTATTTTTTTTTGTAGGACGAGGAGTACAAACAATGGACTACTTTCAAAACAGAGGAAGAAACCCCAACAAGTACAAATTTCAAATTTGGAATACGACTTTACATCACAAACATGACTTATAAGTTCGTCGGATTTTATTGCTGCCATTACGAAGAGAATGAAAACGATAAAGCAGAGATGTATCTTTATGTTGAAGGTTAGTGAGATGCAAATGTCTAATAGATGTCACAATATATTATGACTGGGTACGTTATCAATTGAACTGTATCGCATATTTCATGGACATCTTATACTCTTGATGAGACAACATCGATTGTTCATATTTGAGTACATTCATTCAGTCCCTTTTGTTTCGAATGATATTTATATGAGTCTAGGTTTTTATTCATAGTGTACTGAATTGCTTTTGGTTCTCACTACAGATATAGCGTTTTTTCCAGTACTTTGAAAAATTTCAACTGCACGTCAGTCCATATATGCGTTTGTAGGAGATTTTTTCGTATATCCATCCAAGTACATCTTTTTCTGTTAGAATCGAGTAAACTGTGATCCTCCAACTATGATCTCTCATTTACGATACCAAATATTATAACAAATACGAAAACGAATACGAATATTATAACGAATACACAGTAGCTTTTTAAGCATCCATTATTCTAGTTCAAATCATTTATCCAGTCAGATTAACACTTTATATCAACCTATACGCTGGATTTCTCCTTTTTTTATTTTGGATCTTCAGTATCACATCATTTCTCGAAATTCTTTTTTCTTCAGCGTTTTTGAATCTATTTCCCTGCTGCTTCAACCAAGAACTAACATCCATCGACTGTAGTGTCCAACTTTCAACCTTCCTTTTTTTTAACCATTGAATATTGTCTGAATTCTGATCCACGAGACCTTTCAATGTATTTTTCTGGATTCCTGGCAAAAACTACTGAAGGTGAAAAATCGTAGTTGATTCATCCATAACTCCAAATCGGCTGGACGTATTTTAAAGATTTTTGATTTGCTGGATTTGTGTCCGCAGAATAGCAGAATAACTATTGTGATATTAAAAACATCAACGAAGGTGATTTTAATTTATTGAAAGTTAGTAACACCATTTGTAACTCAATGAATGCTGGATCGATTTTTATGATATTCAATGTGTTGGAACTCTCTGTGTCCAAAATAGCAGAATGACTGATGGAATAATGATAATTCGCACGAGAGGAGTGCTGTATTTCCAGGTCTAGTATTTTTGTGGTAGATCTTGTGTGTTGGTTTTACATACTATTATTCCACTGTTTGAGAAATAAAATCTACTGATGATTAGTCATATGAGACCAAAATATGAGAGAAGTATCAGGAGAAATAAAAGGAAACAAAAAGTGAGGTATTTGAATAGAAATTTTTACTGTTAAAGAACGTCAATATAACATAATTTGCATGTTTGAGAAAAGTGGCATTTTCATCAGTAGTAATACACATGGTTGAGAACCGAAACAATGATAATGAATTGAGAATAAGTTATTCAAAAACCACACTCTCAAGTGATGTTTCCACTTGGAATTTTACAAAATCGTGGTTTTGGAAATTTCACATTGAACTGTGTTTTTTGAGTACGTTATAAGGGATTTCCATCGAGTATCGATTAATTCTATGAAATACTTGAGAATAGGCTGAAAGGGGGTATCTAGTGAAAAATTAGAGCTTTACGATAAACAGATATGATATGTGGATGACAAGCTACGGATAGTATATAAATTCAAGTAACACTTCACTGTAGGATTCTCATTAAATAGTTTGAAAAGTCGGAACACCTATTTCGCTACACAATAGCCTCATCAGGCGTTTTCTGGATTTTAATATTACTTAAATTATTGATAAACGTACTTTTGCAATTTTTCCCGAATCAGCATAAAGTAACAGTATTCGGTAATGAATTTTCAGAGAGAACTGACCTTCATCAAATGCGTTGCTGTCAATAATAGTTACAAGGTAGACATTATTGACTTCATTCTTCACAAAAAACTACGCATCAGAGGACTTCAAGAATCGATACAATCATTAAGATATGTTTCTATTCTCTTTCCTTCCATCACCCTTTCAAGACAGGATCTCACACACATTTGAAAAAGTTGCTTAGAAATCACTTTTGACCCTACATACCAAATTTCAATGCAAAATTTTGATTTCATATTCAAATCGATTTTTAAATAATACTTCTGAATAAAAAGCTACGGAAATAATAAATCCGTTTTATTGTAGAAATAAGGATGAAAAACCTAATAACTTGGTTGAGGCTTTCGCGGCCAAGATTTTCAGTGTTACAATCTTCATTCGGGTTTGAAGGCCTTCGTGGTTTGGAACTGTATCCTAACGTTTCGCCAGCACGAGTGGCTGGCTTCTTCAGAGAATTATTCATCTTGATTGTTCACCGATGACTGTGGTTTTCTCTTAATCTGCCACGTTCATTTATCATGTTTGAGTAGGATATGCTATCCACTTTATTATTATTAAAACATTATATATTATTAAAAAAAATGGAAAATAGAAATGAAAATCATAAGATTCCAAAGTTTTGTCACGACGTTTCGATTGTTAGTATCCACAATCATCTTCGGGTGATAACTGGACTTATTCCTCCAAGATCCGACTATTTATAGGCCATTCGAGTGCTNGTTATTTTTCCTACGATTCAAAGAGAATAAAGAATGATAACTTTTTCCTAACTGAAACACTTGTTTGGGAACAAAACAAACTTTGTTCCCAATTAATATTTCAATTTTTATTTTTTGGTTGTTGTTTGGTTTTATGTTATTTCTTTGTAATTTCAGTTTTTTGTTCAAATAAAATTGTTATTTTCGGTTAATCTTTTTAATACTTTTTCAGGAATTTCATATCAATTTATATTATATTAGACAATGGAAGTCCGAACTGATGAAATAGAAAAACCTAATATTCATCATGAATATGTTTATTTCACTGATTTCGACTATTTCATCATTTCTGTAGCTTCGTATTCGAAGTCATCAATTGAAAATCGGACTCAAATATGAAAATTACAAGAAAAAATTAAATTTTCAAATTTTGGTTGAAATTCGGTATGATAGGGGCACAATCGATTTCTTAGCAACTTTTTCAAATAATTTATTTCGGTATCTCAGTAGGCTGGGTTTGAGGCTGTCACTCATGCTAAGTATTGCGAAAAATGCACCTCACGAAGGTTTACTTGTCACTTGTCATCGATAACAATGATGATAGTATTTAAGTACTAGATATCTCAAATATTTTCAATATTCATGAGAGCTCACCAATAAAATTTAAGTGGAATAATTCAATATACACAACTCGTTACATTTGATGACGACTAAAAATTTCTTGGATAATAGTTTACACAACAGCCCTTTGATTTTCAGATGAACACCATCTATCGCTGATTTCTAAAAAGAATTTTGTACAACATGTGTACGTTCGAATGTATGATACAGTCATCATACCTTGTAGACCTACATCTCCTACCGTTAACGTAACAATTTCAGGAGTGGATGATGATATGGTGAGTAGTATTATTTCCTTACAGTACCTACATGTAGTTATGGAATCGCGACAGATAATACAACTAAACTGAAAATAATAGAGTATATGAACTCATAGACAAAAATATTGCATATTTTATTCTAAGTCATTAGCTCTGCTTTATTTCTTCCTTCGACATACTTCTAAATTTTCAATTATCAGATCCTCTGCATGAGAGATTTACGTATGTTGCAGCTACATGAATTGAATACTGAAGCTTTACGATAGATTCGTAGACGAATGGAAAAAACAGTCTGACTTTGATCACAAGATTAATTTGAAAAGGATAATGATAACGACAATATATCAATATGTCGAGACGAGGCAATAACAATTCAGTACTTTCTATTTCCATCTTCAGCACGAGCGACAGAAATAACTTCAAATGACTATTCGATGTTATATTTAATTTCGAAGATGCATACACGAGTCAAAAAATATATTATCAATTGTGATATTACTGTTTTTGGAGATTCGTGTACTCTTGGTTATTCATTATATTTGGGCATTATTGAACATATCCTCCTCTGATGTTTCATTAGAACTTCCTATTTGTCTCAAATCAGAAAAAAAGGCTTCACGTTGGATGGTTAGTGTGGAAAATCTTCTGAGTATGTTATCAGCTATAATATCCCAAGGACATTGATAACTAACGAAATAATTTTATCACAGTTTTCGAAAGCACGTTATTTGGTAACATCCCGACGCCGAAGGCGGAGGGATGTTACCTAAAATAACGTGCTTGAGGAAGTTGTGATAAAATTATGAGTTATTTATCAATGTTCGAGGGATATTCGGTGAGAAAATTTTTTGCAATTCGAACAAAATTATTTATTGAACACACAGTTATTAAAAGAACAATTTGTATAATGATATTCCGTTGATCTTGCTGTATTTGCCTGGGTTACTGCATAGGTGTTTCCACGCATACTATTGATTATTTGGTTATGATGTTCCTGATCAATATCATTTTGAACACCAAAGCGAGGAAGTGACATTTTCGAAATAAATTGAATTACTGAAATGTCAAACAACTTTATTGTGTTGGTTGCTTAGCAATGTCATGATATAAGTGATAACTACCCGTGAAAACTATCCATGGGTAGTTATCAGTATAATGATGGTTTCATTGGTTATTTCGACACACATGACTAGAAATAGACAAATTTGATAAGATAATTTTTTTGGCAAAAAATTTTCATTAAAATTATTTGAGTAATATTTGTTACATTATATGTTTTCCTGACGAAACACTGTGGAAAAATTTGACATTGATGTTGGTGTCAAACCTTCAAATGTCACACCAACATTAATGTCAAATATATAAAAAAAATTAAACATCCATAGTGAACTTCTCCAGAATCTGCAACTGCTATTGCAACAAGATATGGTGAAGTTCTCTACTGTGCAAATTTTCAAGATTTTCTGCATACAAATTAGGAATCCATGTAGACAATTATGACTATGATTATCCAGCCCTATGTTCATCTTTTGATATAACTACTCTGGTGAACAGAAGAATTGAAATTGGCTTATGCTTTTTGTTCAAGTTGCTAGCTGGTGAAGTTCATTCACCAGATCTCTTGTCTCACACTGATTTTAAAATTAATACCTCTGGTACTAGGTCAAATGACACCTTTCATTTTAAACATCATTGCCGGTACCATGGCTTCTACAGCCCTTTATCAACAATGGTAGGGAATGCAAATAAAGTAGATTTGAACTACTTTGGCATACCCTATTCTACTTTCAGACGAGAACTAAAGAATATAAAAGACATACACTTGGCCTTATGATGCTATTTGAATGAATGATATCATGTGCATTGAATGAATATTTTGTATGTATGAGTGTGTGGACCGCAAATTTTATATTAACTTGTATTATGCTGTAATGGACATTCCGTAGATAAATAAATAAATTTGTATGTTATAGGATACAAACTCTATGCGCTACAACCCGTTTTATGGATTCCTCACCAATGCTACAACGGTAGTGAAACGTGAGCTACTGATTTGTGATTTCACGAGGAATGGACAACATAGCCAAAATTACTACAATTTCATTGTTGAACGTATGATGAATTCTTAAACACATATTTCGGTTACCGTGAGAGATTGGATTTTTTTCCCTAGAACTAATTCATATGATAACGTCATTTCAAATTTAAAGAATAATTCAATTTATTATTTTATTCGAATATTTTTGTACTAGGTATTCAAACGTTCGTTTGGATTTTTAATAAAAAGTCAGCCCACTCACTCTTTGACGACTTCGTTCTTGCGATATTTTTCAGGTTGATTCAATACAATAACGTCATCATCACTTGCCATTCAAGTCGTTTTTGTTCTTACGATCTCTATATCAAAACTTACTTCCAACTCGATCTGAAGCAACTACATCAGAAAAATCTAGACATACAAAAGAATATTACTTCTGGGAAAGAAAGTTTTTGGATTTCTACTACAGCATCTTTATACAGAGAAATGTGGGAATTTTCTTCTTTGGAAGATTCCCACATTTTTCTGTATCAAAATGGAGTAGTAGAAAGGCAAAAACTTTCTTTACCAAATATAACTCCTTTAAATTAAACATTGTTTCTATTTCATCATTTCTTTCACTTTAATTTGGAAATAGAATGGATATTCAAATCAGAAACATTTGATTGATGGAAAGACAGTGACGGCAGCAACATTGCTTCTTCTCCAAGTTGTTCCGTCCTAGATCATTGATTTCGAATCCAATATGATTATGATCGAACAAATTTCCACAGTCATTTAGGATTACAGTGCTTCTACATGGTTTTCTCATTCTAGTATGTCTTTCCATCTTCTTCCAGATAATCGCAAATACTCTTATTTATTAGTTGCGGTAAAATTTCACTTCATCCAATGTATTGATGGGAAAATATTTTGTGATTATCTTGTTTGTAGGGCTTTTCCTAGAAGAGAATATACATTAGTATGATTATTGATATCACAGTGATAGTTATTTTCAAACTAATCACAGCACTCATGTCATTTTGATGATCATCTTCAAGAGAAAGATAAAACTGCGTCTTGGGGTTAGGTGTTGGGACTAAACCAGTAATATTCATTACTTTTCTGTCTAATTCGAATTTCTTGTGTGATACATATTGGTAATTCAATATCACAGTTATGGCAGGTATTGAATGTCGATTTTTTCCTTCCTTCGCTCTTGCAGGTTAGGTTAGGTTTGGTTCTTTTCACAAAGCAAGGAGCCAAATCTGTTGATAAATAGAGTCCAAACTTTTGCTCCTCAACGTTTTTATTACCATTTGAATGGGAGCGAATCGGTATTGTTCATTTTGAATTGAGCTTTTGTGGAAATATTTTGTCAGATTTCTGTTATTATTCATATTACTGCATATGTGTTGATATGTATTCCTGAAATAGTAACAATGACTCTACTGAAAACCCTTTTTCCTCACTAAAACAAAATTGCTGTCTTTTAACGCGTTTCGCTAACAAAGTCAGTATCTTCAGATGTTATCTCCTGACGATGCTTACGCGAAACGCGTCGAGAGATAGCAGTCCTGTTTTAGCGAGGGAAAAATGTTATCAGTAGACTCATTCACGCCAATAGCTGTTATATATGAGTGTTTTGAAATGTAATCACTACTCCAATCAATTCAATTCTCTGTCTATGAAAATTTGTGCATCTCAAATGGGCCCTACAACAGTATAATGATTAGTAACAGTCAGTCAAAGTAAAGTTATCAATCAAGTTTGTTCACTAGTGCTCTTTGGTCATCCTGAGACTGTAGTTTATTTTTTCCGAGCGGTTTTAACATTTTTTATCGGATAATTTCAGATGTCTTTTTTATATAGGTCATCAGTTTGATTACCCTTTCAACCCATTTTCAATATAGAGCAATTAATCTATTATGTGATGTAAACTTGCTTTCATTAGTGTGAAAAAATAAGTAATCATGCAATGGTTTTTGTTTCACAGAAAGTTCAATTTTCAATATACAGACATCGACGAGTGTTTAAATATTATGTTTCACGATCAAATAATCATAATTCTGGACAACTAGAACCTAATTCATTTCCTGATGCATTAGATTTCACTTCACAGTTATGAAGCGGAACATTTGATTTTTATTGATATTTGAATGAAAAATATTTGTCTTTTTTCAATATTTATATTGATAGACTGTTTGATTCTGAATATGGTCAGAAACGTAAGTTGATCTTTCTCAATATCTGAATATCTGAACTCTCACGGTAATCGGCTCTTTATTCATTTTTAAACAAAAACTCTACTTCTGTTGGAAAGAATTTTACTAGACGCAAACTGAAAAATTTCACTCATACAGTTTTCGAGAAACCTTTTTTATCTAGTTTTATTATTTTCAATAGCCTTTTCCACTTACATAGACCAACCGGAAATCATTGATGCCAATTCAGGTCATACTGTTTCGGGAGAGACAATCAAATTAACTTGTGAAATTCACTCAGAATTATCTGTAGAATTCACGTGGGACATACCGAATAAACACAGTGATGTAAGTTTGAGAAATAATAATATTATTATCATGAAAATATTACTCAGCTTAACTAGATATCTAGCTTTGGTAAGTCAGATATAACTGAATTTTTTCTGACAATATATTACGAGCAAATCAAAACGAAATTTTATGATATATCAATAATTATATATATTTAACATGTTTCACTTGATTTCAATTAGTTTGCTTTTTCAGAAACGACGAATCCATAATATTTCCGGAGATGAATACGATAAAAATTATCAGTATTCCATTCTGAACATTTTTGGAGCAACATCTGCTGATGAGGGATTTTACACTTGTCATGTTTTTGATCACCAAAATCACACAAATGTTTCACATTTGGCAGTGAAGATTTTCGGTAAGTTTTCATGAATGAATGTGATATTTATCAATATAAAAATAATAATAATGATAATAATGAAGTTTCTTTTAGTCAATATATACTAATAAATTACCTACTGAGAGAAAAATAAACAGAGCACCACGAAAAAAACTTCAGAAGAGTTTCTTGTGTACAGTATAGCCAACCTATTGAATGTAGAACTGAATATACAAAATAAGTTCAATTCATTCTTGGTGATGTAAACATACAAGTCAGGTATAATATTGAATCAACTCGTGCATAGATAGTTGAATAGAGGGATGAAAAAAGAAAATAGACGAATAACATTGTGCGGAAAAATTCAAGCAGCCAATGTTGAAAATGAATGGCACCTCATGCTATAATTCCATAACTATAAGTTGTGATTGTTCTAATCCATAGGGACGAAGAAAATATTAAAATCAAATAGTTGTTGGTTCACAGAAGGATCAAAAACACCTTCCGGTTCTGGTGCAGGTTCTTCAGTCGCAGACCCAGGACAGAGATATAAACCTGCCTAGGAACCTATGCGACTGTATTTCAAGCGAAAATTTACGCTATTGAATCGTGAGCGGAGAAATTGGAAGAATCCAACCTCATACACAAGTCAATGAAAATATTCTCGGACAGTCAAGCAGCGTTCCAAGCTCTAGACTCCTACCGAGCAACGTCTCGATTGGTAGCAAATTTCCAAAAACGATTCTCCTCGATATGGAGACTCAACAGATTGTCTCTGGTCTGGATTCTTGGCCATACTGACCTGGAAGGCTGATGATGCTGCTGACTCTCTTGCAAAGGAGGGTGCTGCAAGCAGCTTTATCGGACCAGAACCTGTCATTGGAATCGCTTCAGACTTTGCCAAACAAAGATTGAACACCTGGATGGCAAGAAGATTCATGAACTTCTGGCAGAATCTTCCAGGATTGGCTCTTCTCAAGGCGTTTATTCACCCTCCGAAGCTTGATACCATACAGTTGTTGGACTACAGTAGGGATGAACTACGATTTAAGAGACCTTTTTACAGGTCAGTTTCATTTGAATCATCATATGCAGAGACTCGGACTGTCCGAAGACAGTGTGTGTCGCCCCTGTCGACGGGGAAGGCACATACTTTGTGCCTGCCCCGCCGGGGACCGAATAAGGTTTTTAAAATTCAGCAGAGCCGTACTCTTTCCATCTGACCTGAAAGACCCCTCACCATACAAACTAATCGGCTTCGTTAATCAGCTGGGTTTATTTGGTGGAAAGTGAATATATGTGAGTCACAATAAACCGTTGCGGGTTTTGGTGGAGGGTCGAATAGACCTACTCACTTTGGACCTAACCTAGCCTAACTAATCCATAAATACATTGTTTTTTACTGAGGCTTTTCGAGAATTTCTTTCAATAATTTGAAACGTGATAGAAATCCGCGTGATTTTCTGGTAGAATGTGACATATGTAGATCCCGTTTCATATGTCAATCCAGAATTACTCCCAAGTATTTGACTGTAGTGGCCTACTGTATTTAAGCCACCTTGTTTATTTCCTCATATTTGGAACGTTATTAGTGTAGGAAGTAAATGACAAACAAGTATTTGGTTATGTCTATATTTGAAGTGAATTTGTTATGTTCAAACCACCTGACGATTGTGCTAAAATCAACTTCGGCTTTAATTTTGAGTTTTTTTCCACGTGTTTGACTTTAACAGTAGTACATCTATATTATTAGCATTTCATATAGATGATTTTGTTCCTGAATAAATGTTTGTTATTTTTTCATGAGATATAACAGCAGCTTGGAACTTTTTCAAACAAAATATTTGGAAAATATATGATGAGCATGTATAGGGTGCCCATTTGTACAGAATCCATCCTCATTAGTGTAGCTCTTTTATAAAAGGCAAAAAAATGCGCAAACCGGAGATTCTGTAATAATGGGGAACATTCTCAAAAATATTTTCAATTCAATTGCATCATTTGTCTAACGAAGAAAAAAACCCTGAAATTTTATGAAAGAAAGAAAATTAGATGATTCATCAAAAGGTAATTGATACGTTGATTTGCTGTCCCGAATGAATTAACTATTTGTTGATGGTTATGATACCTAGTCCTCAAAAAATTTATGTTTGCGTTTTCTGATTTCTACCAAGACAAGGGTTCACAACTGGAAATGTTGTATGGTACGTCGAACTACGTCTATGTTACCACTCATCTAACAGTCACGTTAGTCGATTTCAAAATATCGTATATATCAAGATTTAATCATCAAATGACTTACATAACTTTAAACACCGTCTACAAGCCGTGTTATTCCGAATGAGTGGGAGAGAGATCTATAGTCTGATTTGCCAGTTTAGCACTCTAGTTTTTCTTTGCAGTTTTTCTCCATTGAGGTGACGAAAAATTCCTTTGTTGTTGCATAGACGCGACAAATGTAAGAATGAAGAGACTTTATCTCACACACAATTCATTATAAACTAATGTAACCTTCATGGGAAAAGAGCATACCGCTCAACTAGAACGTTAATATTAAAAGAACATCCAAACAAATGCGAAGCGAATGCATCTTGATGGACCTGAAATCCCCCTTCCTCAATCTTTTGAAATTGGACGAAAGAGAACGTACTGACTTGCGTAAATATATTTCCAACAGATACAGCATCTGGAGAAGAACCACATCAGGATATAGATTATTTACCACTAGACCACCAAACTCTACTCTAACTTGAGAAAATGATTCGATTATTATGCCCAAGAGCAGAAATGTGAACGGACGTAGTGAAAAAAGTGTCACATGAAGAATATAGAAAACTGTCTGGAATTGTACAGATCATTGAAATATTTGAATTAGTACTTGTGTGTTAGTGAATAACATCACAATCAGGAATGTATTTGATGGAGTTGAGCCGAAGAATCCTCAAAATAATGAAAGTATTTTTTCCAAAATTGAGAATTGATGGTGAGCGGTTCAATATAGACGTGATATCATTATCTTCATTTCGGACGACAAAAAAAAACAAACTCACACTTCAGCAGAGAGCTTCGACAGCCTGAGCTCAATGAACTGCGCAACCCGATAACCCCGGATGACGTTCGAAGGGCCCTTGTGTGTTCCAAAAACTTTGCTGCTACAGGATCAGATGGGCTGAACACTTATTGGTGGAAAAAACTACCAAGTATCCACCGCCATCTGGCCAGAGTTTTCACTTTCCCCACGGTGTGGGGAGTGGTCATTGGTTGATAATACTGGCGCGCCCTCCCGAATGTATCGGGGCTTCGGGGGATAGGGCCTGACCAGCGCACACTTCGATGAAAAAAAAATTATAATAATGATGATATAGGACTCTATATAATATAAGCGCAACCTCTCTATGGCCTGGATCGATTACCGTGAAGCATTTGATACAATATCGCATGAGATCATCTTGCAGTTGCTCAGATGCCTCGCTTCACCATTACATCCGGTCAAGCCAGAGTCCAAACAGGGTGGGTCACTTTCAGAATGGGTGTATTTCAAGGCGATTTCCTCGGTCCCCTTCTCTTCTGCATCTCACTATTGCCATTATCCGTTGCTCTCAGAAATACTCGAGGGTATAAAGTTGCGAGGAACGAGAAGTTCCAAATTTATTGTAACTATTCGTTCCACACCCTCAGGCTCATACAAGCTTATAAGCCTGATATAGTCAAAATCATACCGGTTTGCCGCACTAAGGCAGAAATCTCAACCGTACAGATACAGAAGGCTGTCATTCTTGGGTCACTGCGCTTGCTCAGGGCACATGATTCTCGGACCCAATGATCACTTACCCCACGGTTGTGAGGAGTGGTCATTGGTTGATGATGCTGGCGCGCTCTCACGAATGTATCGGGGCTTCGGGGAATAGGGCCTGACCAGCGCCCACTAAAATGAAAAAAAATGATAATAATAATACCCAATGATCACTGGCTTCGGGGAATAGGGCCTGACCAGCGCATACTTCGGTACGAAAAAATACGTCTTTATTATTTTTCATGTACAGTACATCTATAATGAAGAATGTTTTTTGAATAAAGTTGGAAAATAAAGAGCGAAGTTCATTTTCTCCAATGAAGCAATAACTTACTTCCACTCAATAGCTTTCAAATATATACATAAACATGAGTCTATTAAAAACACCCCTTTTTACGCCAATACAACAACATTCTGCCTCGACGAACGTTTTCCTAACCAAGATGTCTGATACAGTTTTTCATTTCTGATGATGCTTTCATCTTACATTTACAGATCATGGAGAGAGTGAAATTTCTTTGGAAAGACTGAATTGCTCTGAATATCAACAAACATATGCTGGTAAAGACTCCATCGTCTGCACGGTAAATGTATGGGGACATCCTACTCCAACATACACATGGTAAGCTATTAAAACATATTGATTGGTTTCGTATTCATATTTCGACAACTGTTCTTGAGATAGTGCCCAGAATTTCTTAAAGTTTTGAAGTTCAGATATTTCACTGGTACTGGTATATCAGTACGAAAGTGATTATCATTTTCAATAACAGCTGGTCAACAGAGAAAAAGGTTTTGAAAGAATTAATACAAAAAATAATTGGGTTAACAAGACTAGTAGATAGACAAACCTTACAATGAAGGTGCCATATTTTTAGAAGTTTTACACATTTTTTGGATAAAGATGATAGGCAAAATGGCCAAAACCCTAAACCTCAACCTATCACATCGCAGGAGTCAATTTCTGACCATGCTACGGAGAAATCGCAACATGAGCAGACCTTTCTCTTCCATCCAACCAAAAAATGTGTGCACCTATGTAACATAAACACAAGTGCACACAAGCAAACATTTCACCAAACAAGCACGATTAAAAATATACTACATAAAACGGTATGCGAAACACATTGAACACATGTGTGATACTATTATTAAAAAAGGAGTCGATGCATGAAAAACTAATGAAAATAGATACTAACACTTGAAATTTAACATACTAGGAATTTCATTCATGAGCAACAGATGTTCAATTTTCTTTTTGAATTCTTCAGTTCGTTGGATAATGTATTAAAGAGCCAGGTTACGTATTAAGAAAACGATCCACGATGATGGGAAGTTTTGTGGTGAGGAGGAGTGAGCAAGTTCTTGAATCTCAGATTAAGATTATCAACGTCGGTCCGAAACCTGAGTTTGTTCACATGATCACATGATCCTGTCTCCGCAAACCAGTGATCAATCTGACGCAAGAGTTCTGTATTACTTGCCGTCTTCTCTTATTGGTTTGTAACAGATAAGGACCGTACACCTCATCCTCATAGTTCGCATGGGATAAAACAAGTGTATCGCAAAAAATTTGTTTAGTTCACGGTTACGGTAGATCGTTTTGAGGTTACAATACCCTCGTTTCAAAATCAGTGAGACATGCGATGAAAATCTTTGCGACGGATTCATCAGCAAAGCAAGGTTTTTATATTATCATTTTCGCCTTTTATTGGTAACGACACGTTATCGACAGTGATGCTTATATTATTCAAGCACTTTTTGCTAGTTTCTGATCTCCCAAAAAGCATGACAAACGATTTTATGACATTCACAGAATGACAATATTTTTTCGATAGTTCAGTCAGACTTTTCAAATCTATATTAATTTTTCGGCCACTGTCATCTACAGAAGATTCCTCAAAATGCATATATATCAAAGGAATAGTTGTTGGAAAAGAATGATATGATATCATTACCTGAATTCGAGATAAGTGAAAAGCTATTACGAAAGAAGGTATTGAGATCATTGGTATTAGTGAGCTGTTCAGGGATGGTTCTATTGGATTTTTTATGTATGTCCAAGTAAGGTAAATCCTACCAAAATTCATCATGAAATTCAAGTTGGCCTTTCTTTCGAAATTCGAACAGTTCTGAGAAGAGCATGGGAATCGAAAGTTTTTAGGATAATCGAATTGAGTGTAGAAATGTTTACCTCTATATTTTCCATTTGATGAATTGCGTCTAAATTGTCATTCGTAAGATCTACCAAAACAGCATCATTATCGAAATTTTTTAAATCCCTGTATGTATGCATGGAGGCAAGAATTTTGGACTGCCCAGTACCAATTACTAGATTGTGATCGAAAAAAGTGGAACAATCAACTACAGCACGGTCGGTGATATCCAACACATTATAAGATCAATCAAAGAACTTCGTGTCGCACTGCAGCGAGTAGGTTCATCAACAACATGAGACAATCCATATCATCCTAAAATTCCATTCAGGTTCTTACATATCTGAGATGATGGATTCAAAAGATCGATGTTGAGGTCCCCCCCGAACAGAATGTATTCATGGGTGGGAAACTTAGGGCCCTCTAGAGAGAGCCAATAACATATTTTTCTTTATGAACGATATCCATACCTGCTCAGAGTTGAGAGCAATATTAAGGTTCAATACGTTAGCGTTTAGGCTCTGCTTCACAAAAATGGCAACACCCCCACCGCGGCTATCTCGATCGCGTCGGAATAACTGGTATCCGGGTAATGCTAGTTGCACACACACTGATTTTGGAGGGCCAACTTTNTTATTTCTGCGAATTCGGTCGTCTAGTTGAATTATTTTCCCGTCCAATATTGTTTTTTCCTGTTCAAGTGTGGATAATTTGTGATTGACGGTAGAGAGATCGCTCTGTATGTGTTCTAACGTTTCCTGAGATTTGTCGAAGTTTTTATCAAAGTTTGACATCAACTTGAACACAGCGTGATATCATTAGGAGTAGGCATTTTCAAAGAAATCCAAAACAACCCACAACGTGAATCGGAAGCAAGCACCTGTACTACCGTCTTATCGTATGTCAAGGTTCTTCTATCTCCGATAAGATTGCTTGTTGATAGTTTTCACTACAAAATCCTCATACGATATCAATTGTGAGAAGTGAATGTTCGAGTGTACCGTACTGTACTTTTTTTTTGAATGAGAGATTTTGTTCATAAGATTCCATCATCTGTAACAAAATCAATGTCTGATCACACAGTTTCATTAGGTATCCACTAATAGTAGCCAACTAGAGCTCAAACACAACACATTTATGATTCAACACCAGACAGTACTGTTTCGACCCGCCATATGTATCATCAGTGGTAGCTGAATCACATATGCATTACTATACTCAATCCTTAAAGAATTAGCCTGACTCTACTAATGTTCGTATTTGGAGCTCGATGATATATTCCAAATATACCTTGAAAATTTGATGACAAATATCTTCGAATTTTTCTAGAATTCTACACGTGCTGGTTGAAATTGAATTTTTTATGAAGCATGAGGGCTTTTATCTGCTGTTGTACTTTTATATAATTGAAGAGTGGTATTGAATTTCAATTTCATTTTCAACATATTGATAGGATTTCACGGAATTATTCTTCATTTGGAAAATCATTGGAAAATAGAAGTTGCCGAACGAAGTGATAAATATGGCAATTCAGGTAACTCAGAGGAGTTTATCACTAATGATAAAGTAATAATTATTCAATATAAAATCTCTCGAGTTTGGAAATCATGACATTCACTGAGTGTATATTATGGTACTATATCGACCACTTCAATAGGAATATTCTGAGAAGAAATATGTTCAGTTTGTATAAATGGGGAGAAATTCATCATTGACATTTGTCAGACAACAACAAGAAATATATTTTTTCATAGATAGATACTGAGACTTTTTCTTAGTGATACTAAAATTTTAATGAAATGTTATGTTGAAATGAGTATATTTCCAAAGAATAGATGATCAAACAGAAATATTCAATATCAGGCAGTACTGTTTCAACCCATCAAGGGTCTCTTCAGTGGTACTAGGCTAAACCACGCAATAGTTGCAGGTTAAAGAAGTGAAATGAAAAAATCCACTAACTGTCCATTATGATGGTGAATATAATTCAATATTTTTCTTTCATATTTCTTTCAAAATATGTTCAGATAGATAAATAGATATCTTTCATTAGTTTCCAAAACTTCGTTTTGGTAGTGCGCGCTGATTGTTTGACCGATAAAAATCCGGTGAGTGTGCAAGCACCCGCTACCAATAAAATATCGGCCGATTTTATACTGGCTGTCCAAAATCGGTGTGTGTGCAACTAGCGTAAGGAGATAGACTCATCGGTTACTGTAGCAGACATATTCACATTTCGGATATGGTAACAATATCGTATATATTGAACACCTTTTGCTTAAATTCTTGAAAATCACTAGACAAAGATCTGGTATTCACGTGACAAAATGTGAAGTTTGACATGAGGCAATTTTACTAAAAATATAAAATATATTATTCAAAGATATAATCATTTGGATTCTTGATTTTTTGCAGCTATCGACGGAATTGTCCTTAGTGTTTTTTTGGTAGCTTGTTGATCGATTGTAGTAGGTGGGTCTTTTCTTTTCAATTTTGCCACAGATGGAGGAAGTAACTCATGGTTACTGGTTACTCGTCAATTGTATATTTCGTGTTGTTAACGACTCAACGATTATTTCTGATAAAAGCTTTGATTTCGTTCAGGTGCCCTCGCAAAGCTTTAAGAGTGATTGGATCCTGTGGACTCAAATCATTTGCTACAAAAATATGCGTTCCTTTCAATTTATTGATGTGCCGGAAGATTTCTAACTTTTTCCAGTAGGCCAATAATTCGATTTTGAGAATTTTCGCACCACNACAGATATGTGAACGATATTTTCACTTGTTTCAGAGGTACTATACAACAGCTGAACCAATTTATGACATCCATCAATAATCTCAATAGAAACATACAATTCATACTCAAAAAAGAGCTAGAGAGAACAGATTTATTTCATAGACCAGACCATTATACATAATTAGAATGATTTTGAGTTCAATGTATTCAGAAAACCGAGCTATACAGACAATACAATCCCAAGTGATTCTTTCCATCGCAATAGTCATATATTAGCAGCTTACAATTCAATGTTGCACAGAGCATTCTCGTTTCCTTCATCTGCTGAAGATCTTGATAGGGAAATCAAAATAATTATACAGAAAGGACATAATAAGGAAGAAAATAGAATTGAAACTTTCTGTTTCTTACCACTTTTATTTGTAAGTAACGTCACTGCAGTTTCGTCCTATATGGACAATTTCAAACTTATACACTAAACTAACAATGATTGATTACATTGGCCCTCATATAACACTACTTTAGGTAATAATAGGGGTACTCAGCTTGATTGAGTACCTGAATTTTGTGTACTAGTGACAATGTGGATATGCTAATTTGAAAACCGGTGAGTAAACTGAATCGATTTGATCATTCAACAGATTGCACCCACAATGTTTATGCTTGTGAATTTCCAAGGATTCCAAATAGTTGAGATTGCAACCCTTTCTTGCATAGTGCAAAATTCCCGTATCGTTTAGATTCGGGAACTTGTGGTTGCATTTCAAGGAATGGTTTGAAAACGTCGTTTCATTTTTACCTAGTCTGAAAGACCTTTCATGTACAGCATACTGTGTTTGGAAATCACTTGAAATCACTTGGGATTGTTGAGTCTTTTATAGCTAGGTTTTCTGAAAACATTGAACTCGAATTTATTCTGATTGAGTGTAATGGTAAGGTCTAAGAAATGTATCTGTTCCTCTTTCGAGTGTAAACTGAATGTTGCTCTCGAGATTATTCATGAATGTCATAAATTAATTGAGCTGTCGTATAGTACCTCTGAAACAGACGAAATTATCATCTCCATATCTGTACCAAAAATTAATATGTTTTTTACCCAGGTCGGAATTCACCATAGTGGTCTTCAAGCTGTTCATAAATATGTCTTCTATAAGTGAATGAGAGGTGAGCCCATAGTGATGCTTTCCACCCAGACAGTCATAAATTAGCAGCCTACAATTCAATGTTGCACAGAGCATTCTCACTGCCTTTGTCTTCTAACAATCTAGCTAGGGAAGTTGATATACTTACAGAGATAGACCATAATAATGGTTTCAACGCAAAAACAATTAATAAGTTAGTCAAGAAACGAAGCCTCAAAATTTGTAGCTCTAACATATTTTGGTGATAGAAGAGAGACAGTTGCGGGTTTTTTCAAAAAAATACAATTTGGAAGTGGCATTCAGACCACATGCCAGGTTATCTTATTTCCTTTTCAATGGCAAAGATGAAGTGAACAAGATGGGGAAATCTGGAGTTTATAAACTCAAGTATCCGGAGTGTAATACCGTTTATGTGGGACAATGTGGCCGAAATTTCCCAAAATGGTATGCTGAGTGAACATGGAAGGTCCTTCACACTAGGTGAAAGTGATTCTACGTTTTCAAACCATTCCTTTGAATGCAACCACAAGTTCCCGAATCTAAACGATACAGAAATTTTGCATTATGCAAGCAAAGGTTGGAAACTTAATTATTTGGAATCTTTGGAAATTCATAAGCATAACCATTGCGAAGGAAAATGTCCTTATAGAACGAAATTGCAGTAACGTTAGTTACAAATAAAAGTACAAATATAACATAGAAAGTTTCATTTGTCATTTTTCATGATGATCTCTCACCTGATATTAACGGCAACAACCATCAATTCATTGATATCATAAGTCATGCTCAAAGATAAACAAAATTCCATGAAGTGATATTTTCTATCTCAAAAAAGCATTTATGTTTTTCTCATAAAGTTTTGTGTGGCAAGCACAAAGATTCATGGACGGTTCATTAGGGAAAGTGATAGCCATGCGAGTCATTCAAAACTATTTCTTGAAATGAAAAACATTATTTTTTTACTAAAGTATACTCCACAAATATCTGAAATGCATGATGACAATGGAGTATAGTTGTTAGTATGGTCATCATAGTTTAAATAGAAAATAAACGTCAAAAATATCACTCACCAGTTATCGAATATTTTGTCGTATCAGAAGAGAAAGTGATGTTTTGTGTAGAAAGCATCAAGACTGGCCACTATGCCAGCCACATCAAACTATTTTTCTTGGAATGAAACATACTTTTTTCCCTTCAAACGTGACCAATATACTTATACTGCCACCGGCACCGGCACTAAAATCAAAGCGTAGTCATAGTAATGATGTTCTCAATTAAATCAGAGGTAAACTTCAAAATGGAAATGGCAGTCACAAATCATCATATTTCAGTTTGAAGATGGTTGACAATGTTTCATTGTACATTTCATTAGTTCGGACTTTCATTGTCTAATATTATATAAAATGATCCCTGAAAGAATCAATTGAATTGAAAAGAATAGCTAAATAACAATTATATTAAACAAATAAACTGAATTAACAATAAAATAAAATACAAGCGACAATTTAACATTGAACAATCAACAAGAAATGAAAATCAAAAGATTTCAAGTCAAGTTACCTAACGACATTTGTATTATTTGTATCCACAATTGTCTTCGGGCGATGACTAGTCATCTTGAAATCTATCATATCAAAGTTTTTTATTTCGGAAATGATATTCTAAAAGAACACAGTTTGATTTATAACGATAACTAATTTCACATATCTGGTAATGGAAAAAAAAGGTAAAAGTTTCTATATTTTGCAGATAAGCCCTATGTTTCGGTTAAGATGGACAAGGCATTCCATCGTCCTGATGAACTTGGAAAAGTATTTTGTACCGCTACAGGATATCCAGTACCCGTAATACAATGGGAGTTTCAAACTTGTTCGAAAAAAAAATGTTCATCTGAGAAGGTAAGCATTTAATCCAGACTATTGGTCTTATGCAGTATCATCAAACAACATTTATTTGATAGTAGTGTTTCATGTTGAGTCGATGTAGGAATGTCTAGCCGTTCCCTTCTATAAACAGGGTTCCGAAAGAGGTACCTGTTTGTAAGTGATCGTGTGTAAGTGATCGAGTGATCTCAACCTCGACCGGATACTTTTCTCGAGAAAATTTATCCAGTTGAAGCAGGGATGATTCTGCAACGTTGCATGGCTGACGGACTGCAAATAGACATGATACTCCCTAGGTGGCTCGGGGAGTTAGTAATATTACCTACCCAGGACACGAAGCTAATGACCAATGTAGTCGATGCCGATGACACAAAATAATCTTCATTTCCATATACTTGAAAATGTATGTATCGGATAAGTCATATGAGATTATATACATATAAAATGAAAATATTATCAACAGTAAGAATATCTCTAGAAGAATGAAACATTCTCAACTAACTGTAGACTCATTTTACAAATATCACATTTCAAATGCTAAGTAATCAGACAGAGGATAAAAGGAATTCCTAAGAAGGTGTTCATTCACCTTACTTTCGAAGGTTTTCCCATTCTGGATTGATTTGATCGAATTTGGTAGCTTCTTGTATAATTTGATTAGCATAACTATTGGACTCTCGATAACCAAGGACAATCTGTGCTGAGGTATCTGAGTTCCCTTCTCAAGTTATATTGATATATTATTATCTATATCAGATCATGTAAGATCTGATCATGCAATGAGCTACAAACTTCATGTAATAAATTTATTGATGAACTGAAGGAATATATTGAAGAATCAACTGAAATAAAAATACTGAAGGACTGAAACTTTGGATAACATTAGGAAATCACTATCTGTTATCGGTTTTTTCATTATTTCTCAGCTTGATCGGTTATTTGAAATACGTGATAAAAAATTCGGAAGATCTTGCTCTCTATTTCTACTTTCTTTATAAAACGTATATCTATTAATGCATGCTCCATTAGGCCAGATCTCCGGATTTTAAACATCTTTGACAGAATGCAGAGGCAAAAAATATGCACGATATGCTCCTGTCCATTTTAATCAAATCTTTATATTGAAATTCGATTCTCGGATTTTCTCAGACATTCACTCAAATCGATGTCAGTAGTACGAAGACCGAGCCCGTAAACATGAGGATATCCTAATTTTTGGACCGTTTTCACATCCGAATCAACATTTAACTGTGGAAGTAGAAACCATGGGTTAAGTACTCAGATCGCCTAGTAGCGACTGAAGTATGGTGAACTTATGGTAAAATAAATCGAAGCGTGTCAGTCGTGATTCAGTATTCATATAGTTCACTTCTTCTGGAAAGTCATTCAACGTTCGGTTTTTTAAATCAAAATGGTTGAGTGTTTCATTTTAGTGTGTTTTGATATCAGTGCAAACAAAATGAAGCATTTTATTTGATGATACGTTTTTATATTCAGAGCCATGGAAAGTTACAGAATAGTATAACGAGTGACTCTACAATTACCTTAGAAATTATACTAAATAATGTACAAATGCGTACAATATTTTGATATAATAATGAATTGAGTTTTCGAATCAACAAAATATTCTCTGGTAGACTATTACTTTCCCAAAAATATATTCCACATAGAACTAGAGTTTCCATGAGAGTTCATATGTTTTTCGCAATAGTTTTATGTATTTCATATATGCATAAATCTGTTTAAAATCTGTTTTAACTCTCAGAAGTTGAGAAAATTGTGCGAGCTAAGGACTAAAGAGGTCTTACCTTTTAACCCGTGATTCCTAACGTGGTCTCTATATTCAAAATACAACAAAAATCTTGTTAGGTAGAAATGGAACCTCTGATGTAAATCTATTGAGAACACTTTTCCCATACCAGACAAAGAAAACTATCTCTCTACGCGTGTTTCGCTAACCACGCCAGCATCATCCGAAGATTATTGAAACTCAAATCTACGGTATGTTAGTGATTTTTATGTACTACATAGGCTGAAAAATCTCTGGCCTAACACTAAGATGGTGCTAGTCTTATTGCTTTCACTGCTTTTTCAGTTTGTACCAACCTTCAAAAAAATCTGTTGAAATTCCATGATATTCCACTCATAAGTTTGTGAGTTACAGTGCTGAGAGTGACACTACTTTTGTTATTTACAAAACAATGGATCGTATACAATTTCGTGTTCTAGTTTAACACAGCTTCTTGATGGAAAAAATACAATTATAATTCTTGAAAAGTGTTATAAACATTCCGCTCCATCAGAATCAACAATTAAACGTTGCTGACTTCAAATGTGGTCATAAAGACACCAATGATATAGAACGCAGTGGACGTCCAGATGAGGCAGTAACACCAGAAAACAAAACAAAAAATCCACAAAATCATTTTGCGTGAGTGACATTGTAAAGAGATCAAAAGAACGTGTTTGCTTAATGTTCCATGAGCATTCCACATTCCGCATAAGTGTAAGTGATCGAATATCACTTACACTTATGCGGAGAAACAATATCGGATGATCTAAATGAACAAAATATTCTGTATTAGAGTTTCAAAAAATTTGTAGATGTTGATATTTTTTCTAATTTGCGGATTCATCAATTAGATAACTTTTCTGAGACAAACCACATATCAGAATCAATGAGAGCTATTTCTGAAAAATATGTAGATATCAGATTTCATTTTATATAAAAGCAAACTAACTATAAAGAAACAGCTTTATGATAAATTGATTTTTTTCAAGGGACAATAAATATTACATTTGTTGAAGTAAATATTCAATATATCGAATATAAAACCTATTTTTACCATTCATCTTAGATATCATAAAAGATTTCAATAACGTCTACATTCATTAATCTACTTCAGTTATGTATCAATAAAAATAAAAAAACATTGTTATTGTCTTTATGAGAGTTTTATAACTACTCATACAATTCCTAACCGTGTTAGGAATCACACGTTAAAAGGTAAGACCTCGTTAGTCCTTAGTTCGCACAAGTTTCTCAACTTCTGAGAATTGTCCTTCGTATGGGGGCGACAACTGATTAACGGAAAAACAGATTTCAAACAGATTTTCAAAACAGAATCTCAAATTTGTATTTAAACTTAATGTAAGCACGGATCTGCCTTTGGCACCGATAGTCTTTACCGCACTTTAGGTTTCACGTGCAGCCGCCTATAGTCTCACCTTATGCGCATTCTATTGGCAGCGCCCGATCTAGGAGGGGGCACACCGGCAATTGCCTGGGGCGGCAAAACTGAGGGGCGGTAAAAATGAGGAGCGGCAAAAATAGGTTAAAATTATAACATCTGCGAAAAGTGATGTACACCAAAAAAGGCTTACTCCTAATTGATGATTTTTTTTCTTCCGACCAAGTGTTTTTGCATCGGAAGGTAAAAGACAATTTGGAGCTGCCAGCAGTGCTGAGCATGATGGGAACTTGACAGTTATTGCTTGTGCTAATGTCATCTGAAATTTTGTTTCTCCCGCATCAATTATCCAAAAAGAAAAACGCATGGCCAAGTACTTTGACTCGTCCAGGCACGTCAGAGTTATGCTACTCCGTTAGATATACGGTCGGTGACTTATTTTTCAAATGAATGCACCAGTGGATAGGTTTTGTGAATGTTTTTGTGAAAAATAAGACTTTGCTGATCATATTTGATCATTGCAGCCACAAAAATATAGAAGCACTCGAATTTGCCAAAGCTAATACCGTGATACTGCTCTGTTTTCTTTCACTCTTTGCTCATAGAATGATGTACCATTTTTTGATTCACGGAATGGTTACGAAATGGTCATCTGGATGAAAACTAATTCTGACTGCACCGTAGACCTCACCAAGATGCTCAAATTCATGAAAGATCATACAAAAACATAGCCTCTGTCAAGAATTCGATAGGTGGTTTTGAGAAAACTCACATTTTCCTGAAAACGAATCTAGTAACGACGACGGACCAGTTGCCAATAATTAATCTCAGTACCAGGTAAATCACAAAGGGATTTTTCCTTCAGGAGCTACTAATGCTGATGAACAGCTATCACGGAAATGCAGCTATCACTCACACAGAAAATATATTTACAAGCAGGTGCTACTTCCAGAGAAGGTGAAAGTCGTTTTTTGATTTTTTGTTACGCTGATTGTTCCAAAACTATAGTAATTCTAATGATTATAAGAATAAACAAAAATTGCTGATATCACATAACTTCATTTATTTGAAATAAAAGTATATGATCTTAAGCACAATACCCCTGCCTATAGCTTGGTCCGACCAATAAACTTCATTTTGTTATTTACTGTTTCATTAAAAAAAATATTCGTCCACAAACACGTGTAGGTAATTCATTCTGGATTGCGGGTTGTGCGATCAGTCATGGTCATAGAAAACTACAAGTAATTTGCTTTTCAAGAAATTTTCTGACAGTACAATCCGAATCTCCATTCTGGTTGTGGGAAGTCATCACAATCTCATTGACATCATCAAGAAACCACGATAAAATAATTTGCTTCAAGATAAACATTTTTCACAAACACATTTTTCAAATCTTACCTCACAGGGCGTAGTCAAACAGTTCATCTGAACTCTGTACCCTCTTCATTTCGGGATATCACTTGTGGTGTACCTCAAGGATCGGTTCTAGAACCACTTCTATTCATTATTTATATCAATGATATATTTGATCACCTTAAGTTTGTGAAGGGGCTTTTATATGCAGATGATGCTACATTTTATTTCTCGGACTCGAATCTTGTCAATTTGAAACAGAAGGATGAAACCTTGATTGAAAAGATCGATGAATGGTTAATACCGAATGGTCTGACACAAAACCAATCAAAAACACAGAAATTGATTTTTTCTTCCAATTTTTCATCTAACAGTAATCAATCTGTGAAGCTATTAGGTATTACTTTAGACCAGTCACTTAAATGGTCCCATCATATTGATATTCTTTCGAAGAAGCTGGCTTGTCAACTCTTTCTCATGAGAAGACTGAAAAGATCTGTCAGCACAGATATACTCATGATTTCCTACTTTTCTCTTGTCCATAGCCACCTGACTTATGGAATTTTACTTTGGGGTAACTCTATCCATACTTCCAGGATTTTTGTGATGCAGAAACGTGCGGTCAGAATCATTGTAGGATTGGGTCCTAGAGATTCATGCAAATCTCATTTTATAAGATTAGGAATTATGACAGTTCCCTCTATATTTATATTTCAATGTTTATTAGAGATCCATAAAAATTGCCACACTTTTTCCACAAATAGTTCAAACCATAATTATAACACTAGGCATGGCGATTCTCTATTGAATAGGAGGTTTAGACTAGGAATATCAAAAAAAAATTCGCTCGATTTGGATATATATAATAAACTACCAGCGGAAATTAAGAAACTAGGACCAGCAAACTTTAAAGCGACAATAAAAAATTTATTAATACAAAACTGTTTTTATTCGATTGACGAATATATGAGTACGCCAACTACTGAACTTTTGAAATGACTTTTATATTTTTTAAGTATTAGTTTTAGTTGTTTTACGACAGTGTATGTTTCTATATACATGTATATATGTGTGTATATGTGTATGTATATGTGTATATATGTGTGTGTGGGTATATTTATATGAATTTTTCAAGAACACGAGTGTGAATATGTTCCTATTTGACTTGCTACAAATATTTCATGTATATAACGTAGCCAATAAATATTTATCTATCTATAAACACATACTGCTTCGGTGTTAATTTGAAATGCTTCAATTTTTTTGTCCAATGGCCAACGAGAAATATTTGTTGCAATGTGTATGTTCGACACCAACTTGTAGGAAATATATGGGCAATATGAAAATACTACTACTACCACTGTTGTTATTACCGGCACATTTTTTGTGACATCGGCATCGACTACTTTGGTCATTATATTTTCATGTTCTTCGTAGGAGCCACCTAAAAGGCATCATAGCTATTCGCAGTTCGTCAGACATGTAACATTGCAACTAGATATATATTTTCAGTAGAAAAATATCTGCTCGAAGTAGGGGTCGAACTCACAATCCTTCGATGGTGATTTGGGCGCACTACCACTACCCCAATTCACCGCTAAATATCCTATTTATGCGATAAATAAAAGGTCCAAGGGTATAACTTTTTAGTTCAAAATTTGCTACTAAGAAATTGAAATTTCATTTCATATTCTAATACCCATCATATAAATGATTTATTAACATTAGGATGATATTTGTATCTGCTCCATATTTTGTTCCACGAGCGTTTCGTGAAACAAATTTCTGACAAATACGTGGTACTCACATGACATGCTACTATTCCGTTAAAAATTGAATTGAAATGTTTTTTCGACTTTTTATATAATTTCATAGGAAAGTAAAAATCGTGGAAGGTTTTCAAATTGACGCCTGTTCCCATATATCCTCTATATTCAATTATATACAGGTCGTTTCTTTTATCATGTGGTGACATTGCTATGTCCTTAACCGTAACAGATACGAAGACGATCAAATGAGAAAAAAGATAACTGTCATGGGGAAAAATATAATGGTCGAAGAAAATTCACGGGGACTTTTGCCCTTCTCGAGTTAAACCGAGAAAACCAAAAATGCTATTTTTCGAATGGAATTGTTATTTCGAAGAATATCAAAATGTGGAAAAAAAATGTTATCGTATTCGAAGTGTACTATGACGGTGTGATGATGAATATTCGATAAAAAGTTTCATGTCAATATGGTCACCATCAACTTCTTTTCAAATACGGACCTGTCTTTTTTATTGCAGATATTGATAAAGTAATAAATTCACAATCCAAGGGTTAGGTTAGGTCCAAAGTGAGTGGGTCTATTCGACCCTCCACCGCAACCCGCAAGGGTTTATTGTGGCTTACACCTATCATCAAGAGTACGGCTCTTCCGAATTCTAAAGACCTGATTCGGTCGCCAGTGGGGCAGGCACAAAGTATATGCTCTGTTGATGAGGTAGTCGGATAGTCAAGTTGCAAGATTCCGACCTTGATACCCACGACAACCTTCCCATATGAGAGTTTTTGCACGTCAGCTACACCTGACGATGACAGAGACAGATTCTGCCTATGCTGCAGCTCGCGCTACTGAACTAAATTTACAGGGAGGTCCGTTGGAGTCGTAAACTCGACATCCATGTCCTCTATAGACTCGCTCCTGAAATAAATTTACAGGGAGGTCAGTTGGAGTCGTAAACTCGACATCCATCTCCTCTGTAGACTCGCTTCTGAATTAAATTCACAGGGAGGTCCGTTGGAGTCGTAAACTCGACATCCATCTCCTCTGGAGACTCGCTCCTGAATTAAATTTACAGGAAGGTCAGTTGGAGTCATAAACTCGACAACCATCTCCTCTGTAGACTAGCTCCTGAACAAAATTTACAGGGAGGTCAGGTGGAGTCGTAAACTCGACATCCATCTCCTCTGTAGACTCGCATCTGAACTAAATTTACAAGTTCCAATCCAAGGATATATCACATTTGATACTTTTGAACCGTTCCATTTGAAATAACCACCACCATCAGTGACAACAATCTAACAGAAAAACTATTTATTTTATCATGAACTTTTGGAAGAAATGAAAGCAATAGGAAAAATCAATGCTACATGTCAATCTACATTGAATGCACGAATTGAAGACCTCTTTGTTGAATACACATAAGTTACTGGTCCAGACAATTTCTGTGGCAATTTTCAAGCATAATAGGTATAATACTAATACTTGCATCTCTTATTCTTTGTTTGAGATGGTCGATATCTGTACTTGGTGTTGAAGAAACTTTATCCTTTATGTATCCCCAGACAAACAAATCTAAAAGAGTAAGATCTAGGGATCGAGGTGGCCAGTTAATTGATCCATTGTTTCCAATCCATTTTCTTGGGAATATTGCATCCAAATGTTCCCTTACTATTGCTGCATTATGGAGAGAAGCGCCGTCCTGTTGAAAATATTATATTTCATGGCGGATATTCAGTGTGGCAATTCATCTAAGTATCCATCGAATTCATTGAATAGAAAATGAAGATACATTTCACTATTCAAATGATCATCGTAAAAGAAAGAGCCAAGGATGTTTATTCCCACAATTGCCAACCAATCATTTATTCCTAACTTTTCTTGAAAATTGGTTCCCCTATGTAAATGTATATTTGTTTTATTCCAGCCATACCATGCACCAACCATTGTTGGTGAATTTTGATGCGTCCGTCCATATTATTTTTTTACAAATATTTCCAACTTTCCTATTTCTACGTCTTAACCACTTCGCAAATCGTACTCTCCTACCGTAATCCCTTTCATTGAGGTGATACACTTTGCGTATCCTGTAGCAACAATATTTGTTCTATTTCAATATAGTTCTGGTGGATTTTACAGAAATTACTATTTCGTGGGCAATTTCTCGTAAAGAACAATCTTGATGAGCATAATTTTTTTAACTGGCCAATCAAAAGATTTCACTATGTGAATTTTTATGTGGTAATATTTACTTACCATAGTCCCTCAAATTTATTTCTGATCAATCTAATCAAATTATACAACAATCGAATTTTGACCAAAAACTGATATTTTTGTTACTTCCAGGATTGAGAGTTATAAAAATATTACGAATTATAATTGATTAGAAAGAAATAAGCCTTGAAACACTATGAAAATATCAAATGTGATTGTGAATTCATCGCTTTATTAATATCTGTAATATATCGTATTCAAAAAACAATTTGTTGGTAGTCATGTTGACACAATACGTTTTATCGACTATTTATCATCACATCGTCATAGTACACTTCAAATACAATAACATGTTTTTTTTCCATTTTTTAATATTCTCCGAAATAACAATTCCATTCGAAAAAAACGAAAAACAGCATTTTTGGTTTTCCCCGTATAATTCGAGAAGGGCGAGAGTCCCCGTAAATTTTCTTCGACCAGTGTATTGTTCCCGATGACAGTTACCTTTTTTTCCCATTTAATCTTCTTCGTATCTGTTACAGTTTAGAATATTGCAATGTTACCACATGATGAAAGAAACGGCCTGTATATGTTCAAGAAGCCTCTTTAATCATTTGGATATTTGTTGAAACATTTCACAGTGGGATTCAGTTCAAAATGTGGTTCAGTTAATATTTTATAATGATCATTATTTTTATGTGTTCTAGAGGCAAGGATTGTTATTGGATTCACAAGGACTGACATCAAAATCTGTAATCACGGTTTCTTCTAATAATCTGGTTAGTGTTGTTCGTTGTACTGCCACTAATTTCAATGGTTCTGATGAAGACTCTTTGGATTTTGTCATTTCAGGTAATGTAATGTTGAATCATCAAGTGGAGGTTGTATATGATCATCATTATTTATTGACCCACGAAGCATAACTCAACAAAATTGATAATAGGGAATTGATTCTATCTGAACATGAAAAACATGGCTCAGTTTGAAGACAGAAAATGGTAATCACTTGATCGGGTGGTTTTTCAACTAATTTCTCAGCTTAGAGTTTTACCTACCTCTATATCGCTCCCGAAAAACAAAATATATACATTGTAGATGATAGCCCGCAATTGAAAATATTGATACATCTGACTGTGGAGAGAAAAATGGAGGGCACTGGGGCATAAAGGGCATGGAGGGCACTGACGAACGGCGCAAGGGTTGAATGCGAAATGAACGTTTCTGTATATTCTATCAGGTTGATTTCAAACATGTGCTACATATCAAAGAACATGTATATACAAACATATTTCATTTAATCATGCGGGCGAGAATGAAGAAAAGAAATAGCTATAAGAAATATTTTAGAAACACTGGAAGCAGTGATATAGAAAAATTAAATTTTTCCAAAAAGAACTGACGATGACATATTTACTTGAAGTTATGCCACTGTATATCAAATTATCATTTCGAAAAATACGAAAAAAAGTGAAGAAGACCTTTCTCGTGAATTCTCAGTATTCAGTTGATAATGTATTTATATTGCACTTCTTCATGGAAGCACTGTTTTTGATTACTTCAGTTAAGCAATGAAAAGGCATGACTAGTGACACTCTTTGTGCGGTTTTGTTAACTGTTTGAAATTTTTCCAATAAAATTTTTAATACATCAATCTTAGATTCTCAAGTATCCACTGATTACTTCACATACGTGAAAATTTGAAGGCAAATTTGCAATGAGAGGAGTTGAGTTAGAATGTCTTCATGTATTCCTAAGTGTATACCATTCTTGTCATCGTCAAAACATCATATTTGCTGGAATGACAGGTCTGGCAGCTTTAAGATCTTTTACTATAAACTTATATTTTAAATATATTTCCAGAATTTGACAACGGCTTTGATATAACTGAATTTGAAGATACTGTCGTGCTGAACAAGGAAAGAAGTAGTGCAACTATTGCAGTCGGAGAAGCTATTCGATTCCTGTGTGGAGCTTCCAAATATAAATACACAAATTTGACCTTTTTCTTTGGAAATGCAGAACTGAAAAGTGATGAAAGTGAGTATTCCTTTCCAACAGCATAATTTTTTATGTGAAAAACTATTCCTATTCCCAAAAAAAAAATTCCATACAACATATAAACATATAAACAAACAAATACAACTGGCATATTCTTCGTTAAAGAAATAAGAAATTCAGAACTTTCTGTTTTACGGAAAAGATTCAAACTACTTCTGTTCGAAAGCCAACTTTAAATATAAACTGCCCAACCCTATACACTTTTCATCATTATGAGACCAGAATAAGTCTTGGTAATGGACGTCCTCTTCAGCATCCAAATAGATATTGGAACAATCCCATCTTTTTTTTATTTCATGTATTACTTTTTTTTTGTTCCAGCTTAGGTAGAATCTTTTTGAGGTTGAGTGGAAGAACAACTCAGTAGCACTTGTGCTAACTAAGTTGAACTTCGCCTTTTGTTATGTCAGCAACTAGCTCTCTAATTTATTCAAATATTTGTATGTAACTACAGCTGAGTAACAATAAAGACGATTATTATTATTAACTTTTGAACAGTCACTTTGCTATTAGTGATATCAAAAATCATAGAGAAAGTATTGAACCACCATATCCTCAAATATTTGAAAGGCTTCAACATCTTGAGCGATCATCAATATGGCTTTCGGAAACGAAGATCAACTGGCGACCTTCTAGCGTATGTCACCCATATTTGGAATAACGCAATCGAGAAACATGGAGAAAAAAGAGCTGTTGCGCTTGATATTTCTAATGCCTTTGAATGTATATGACATAAGGGTTTGCCAAATTTCAATGCTATGGCTTGTCGGATCATGTTTATGAATGACTCTTCAGCTTCCTGAAAGAACGTTCCCCGAAAGTAGCCATCGATGGATATCTCTCGAATACTTTCACCATCAACGCTGGTGTTCCCCAGGAATCCATATTGTCTCCAACCCTCTTTCCATTTTATATGAACGACTTATTGGAAAAAAAAAGAATCTAATGACAGCAAACTTGTCTCGTCATTCCATTCTGATTCCAGGACATCGGCTACGGAGGCACATGGTCACCGGCAGCAGGAGGTTGTATAATACCTCAATGAGAATCTAGAAGTGATTTCGAATTGGTGTGAAAGTAATCAGGTTCAATTCAATGCCACAAAATCCCAGGCATTGGTGTTCTATAAGAAAATAAATGTCTCCGAATCGGATTTAATAATGTCAGGTCAAACAATACCGCTTTGAAATGGACACCAAAATATCTCGGCACATTCACGTCGATGGAATTGCAAAGGCTGCATATGAAAAGCTTGAAACACTGTTCCGAACCAGAAAACTGTACAGAACTCAGTAACTTCTGATGCTTCATAAAGCTCAGATCAGACCTTCCTTGGAGTATTGTTCTAGGGTATGGAGCTCTGCCCTGAAACATACCCTGAAGTTGCTAAGTTCCATCCAAAAAAGAGCCATCCGCCTGTTTCCAAACAGGCGGATGGCGGAACATCACGTGCATCCTTGATAGCCTGAAACATCGAAGAAAGGTTGAAGATATGTCTTTCACGGGAAGTGTTCAAGTGACTTGACACAAGAGAGGTACATATCAGAAATACGCGACGGACTGTGGCTGCTCATCGTTTTGAGCTCCAACTCAGTAAATCTCTAACTTCCCTTGTTGAAGAACTCTTTCATTTTGAGAACTCCATGAGGAAAAAACTTCCTGATAACGTTTTTTCCAATTGGATTTAGTCTCCAGCGATTCAAATCCAATGTGAATCGCTACTTTCTCACAGTCACCACTCGGAGAGCGCCTTGAAGATTTCCATGTGGTGCTTGTGTTTATTATTGAAAAAAATTGATGCCAAGTATTCATCTGAAGTTGGCTTGGTTATCCATCAGCTGTTTTCACAAGGCGACTTGGTGACAGTTACACTGGATTACTTATCTCTTTTGATTCAAGAAGATCATTTCATGAAAGCCTCTGTTATTTTGGTACCGTTAGTGTCCATTTCAGTAATTCTAGTAACGTAAGTATTTCAGAGGTTGTGAAATTTTAAAATATTCAGATTGTCGAGTCAAAAGTTCTCCGTCTAACGGCGAACATAGATTACATTATTTTCTGCTCATAAGGCGCTATAGAAACATTTCAAATTCAAGGAAGAAACAATCAAACTCCTAATATAGTCTGAGCCGTTACTTGAAGAAAATTAAAAACACTACCCTTGATAATAATGAAACATTTTTGTCATTCTAGACGCGACACCGTAGCTTCATCAGTACAACATCGGTACAAAAAATGCATGTTACAGATACGATTATAGGAGCCTTACTACTAGCCAAGTGGAATATCAGATAGTATATCATCATTTTTCGCTGAGAACCGAGAATAAAAGTCAAAATTAATTTGGCGAACTGTGCATGAAAAATAAAGTGATTTTTTATGATGTTACTTTCCTCTCGACTTCTCTTTTTCTTTCTTGTCATGTCTTGTCTTGTCTCAACTAAGATGACCCAATTTTTTGTTTTGTAGAAAGACTATTTTTCAAGAGAAAAATCCCAGTCTTTCGATACAAAATAGCCGATTCAAGAGAGGAGCACGAAGAAGATGAATAAATAATAATGAAAGTTAACAAGTGATCTTCCTCTTGGTACGAAAAAGAGTTTTCTCAAAAATAGAAATAGTTATTTTGAATTCTAAATTATCTTGCTTGACCTGTTATTAAACTTGGGTATTATATTTCAGGATTTCACATATCTCACAGTACAACAAAGTTTTCCCATAAAGCATATTTGGAGATAAAGAAGGCCAGACCTGAAGATGCCGGTACATACGGATGTAGAGTGAATTCAGTGAATTCTACGGAAAATTACGAATATAAAAAAATTACAGTTTTTGTTAAGGGTTTGTATTGAACAAAAATCATTTTCATATAGAAAATTGTAGTTTTTCACCAACCATTTTTGGGAGATTTCACATTACTTTATACAAATTCAGGAACGGCACAGTGAATTGAATAGTTTTCACCAAGAACATTGTATGGTTCATCAGTAATTTGTCGTATTTGATATGTTGCCTTTCGAATAAACCAAGAAATTTATAAATACTTATTTTTATGTTTTGTCTTGAAAATGACAAAAAAAACTACAATCTTGCAGTTCTTTTCATTCTCAACCTTCACGATTGATGTGAAAAAAATTAAAATTTGTCAGCTGGAATATGATGGAATCTAATAGAATATATTAGAATATATATTTCTCATCACTAAAATATAACTTTTGACTTACTGACACTCTTATATTAACGAAGCTACTGAACCTAGAATCTTGAAATATGTAAGTAGGTTTTTTGTTAAGTGTATATAAATTTCAGAAAATAGAATAGGGAATTTCCACCCCTCGGAGGAAAAATAGGGGGTTCAAAGATTATATTGAGTTTCGTCAGTTTTGAAGTTGAAAATCTGAAGTTTCAGGTTGATAAAAAAATATTGTAACTATTTTTTTTTAATGATCTGTCACGAAACTCAATGTGAATAACCAAATTCTACGCAGGTAAAGCCGCCAGCAACTGATAGTAATTTATATTTCAATGACAATTTCGTCAAATATTTTTAAAAACGAAAGATAGGTGCTTGGTATTAATTTAACTCATAATTAACAAAACTCATACGATGAATAAATGTATCAGAAAACCCAGTTATCTTCTATTCTACTATTTCAAAATGTTGACATATTGAAATATACATTTTGGAAATAGGCAAAATATTCATAGTGAACGTCATCGAAGGTTGTTGAATGTTCAAATAATGTTGAATAAAAATAAATTGGCTGATATAATGAATTTTCAGTTAGTTAAAAAAAAACAGTCAAAAAGTCAAGTGATTGTTTCTTAATGATGCTTCTGCCGGAAATGAAAGGCACACTTCAGAAATATTTCTGAAAGTAACACCTAATGTTTTGACAGTCCTACCCTGAACAATTTTTTTTTGCCTGAAAGTTTTCACATATGTCATCTGCAATAGAATCACATATACTTCATTCTTAACGTTGAACTTGAATTACTTTTTGACATTCATTTTCATTCGCTGTAATGTGTGTTTAATCAACTGGTAACTATTGAGCAAGTTAAAATATCTACTTCTCAATAGTGATATTCGAATATTTGAATGGAACATTACAATTTTCACGTTACATCCCTAAAAGTTGCCATAGCATCAGATAGAATGAAATATTGTGAATCATTGAAGAACCGGACCCATTCTATAATGAAAAGTTGATTGTCACAATAGATAATGATGGCATGACATACGAATCTATAAGACATTTAAGATTTTTTGCCAGAATAATGAATTTTTGGAAAGTAATCACAGAAGAGACAGTAATAAAATAATTCTATTAATGATTGCTCTTGCTTCACATTTTATGGAAAAACCATATACGGGAACTCTTAAAGGTGAGCCAGACGGTCAACTCCATTTTATTTCCATACTGAAACAAAAATCAACCCAATAATTATAACTGAACTGATGTTATATGATTTTCAATAACATACATACATATTACCCAAATATTTTCCAATATACATTGAAATTTGCAATTATATCCAATCACATGGAAACAATCTTCTTTTTTTTGTATACAATAACAATGCAAATGTATCTGCATTAGAAAAACCGAAATTATCTCTGCGAGGAAGAGTATCTTCGCTTCCAGATGAAATTTGTGCAATACAAATTGTTGCTATTTGTACAATAGCAACAATTTTTAAAGACAACAATTTTCTTCCATATAAATCAAAAATATCCTTGCATTGAAACCTAGAGACTGCAACAGATGTTTTCCCATCCAAGGGAAGGTAAAAGACGACTTTTTTTGGTTGGGAATATTATTTTTTCTGACATAGCTATATTCACGTCTCATGAAACAGTGCCTTCGCAAAATTTTCGATGGTGGACTGACTTTAAACCTCACTTGGAGATTGAAACGTCGCGATTATTTCAACTAACGGTTAGAGCGACATACATAAGGATAATATAATTGTCCTATTTTATCGACAGTATATGACTTGTCAACGATATTGAAATTTTTATAAAATCATCTGCATCTCTTCGTGACATAAACTACAACAGGTATGGTACCAGCAGAAAGGCGCCACATATGGAAGAAAGACAATATCCTGAAATTATCTTCAATGGAAGGATAACTTGATATTTCGATATGTTTTGACCAGCTAGGTAGACAGATTTAACCCTGTTGGATTTTTTCTTCGAATGTTATTTGAAAGACAAGTTATATCAACACAAAACATTAACAAACGTAGAACATTTGGAAACAATTATTATGGAAAAAAGTCAGGGTATAACTCCGAATATAATTAGAAATTTCTGGAAAAGAGAGGTTTCGGCTTTCTTCTTCTCCAGCTTTGTACAAAAAATGTGAAAATCTTCCAACGAAAAGAAGAAAGCAATTATTTTCAGGAAAAGGTAACTCTATACGAAGATTTGTATATTATGCAAAGATGTAACTTGCAGAACCAACTGAAAGAAAAAGCCCTTACGAAAGAGCTACATTGATTTACACAAAAAAAAATACTTTCGAAACAAATACTTCTATATGAACACTAAATTATACAAAAAACACTTTTCTCTATTCAGTTTGTATTTCAAACATTCGTTATAGAATTGAATCAGATATCATTCACAGGATTGCTACACAATTTAGTGAATAAACGAGGTAAAATTTCGCTTATATGCAACACATCCTCACTGGTAGACATCCGATGTTTTGCCATAAGTCACTTGCCTCATCGGCTCTTCAGTACCAAATCTGAATAACATTATAAGAAAAAATACTCCATTCATAAAATAAAGACTTTGTCACGAATGAGTTCAATCTACTTATGCCATTGATTACATTACGTGATAACATTCCTTCATTTATTTGATTAGATCCCAGCCATAGGAATCTTGTTTAAAAATATGAATTTGGCTCAAGAGTAAATTACCTTTATTTTTGACGATACCAAAAATTCTTATCGAGAAAAGTTGATCAGAACTGAAAACTACGTTGAAATATGCAATCACATAAAAAAAAATAATCTCACAATATACCTCTTTCAATATAGTTAGAAATGTATTGAGGGATTTTTTCCAGAACGGAAACCTCCATTGTAAGGAAGGCGGATACTTTGAAGCACTAGTGAATTGATGATGAACTATTACACGCGATTAACAATATTAGCACTGTATTCATGTAGTTGTGATTGTAAAATAATCTATTTCATTATGTATCATTAATTTTGATGCACTATAAATATAATGTTCTATTAAACGGTTAGAAGGCCTTAGTGAATTTGTTGATGCTTAATTTATTAAGGAGTATATTTCATATCATTTCTAGAAACATATGGATTCGTTTTCCGATGGCATTTCAGGTCAGCTTCCCAAATTTCTGCTACCGCAGTTGTTGGTTGATTGGTCAAACCACCAACACTGACATAAAAACTTGGCAAGTTGACTTGGGTGTCACACCAATAGGTGGTTTCACTTATGTTTCATTTGCGTTTACGCAGTTATTTTTATCAAGTACTTTTCTGGTTTTTCACATTTTGTCTTCAATCGAGGAACGCCTGCCCGGTACTGACGATGCCCAACAGGCTGAAACAGCTGACTACCGGTGGCTCTCAAATTGAAATCAATATGGGAAAGATCAGAAAGGGTAGTCATACATTAAATTTTTATGTTTCAGAGAAAAAGTACAAAAACTTATTTTATTTAAACATTTGAAAGATTTGAAATTTTGAAATTATTTCACTGGCCATGCATGGTACTTACTGGTGGCGTGGTACCAACCATCATGGTTGCTACCACGCCATATAGACAATAAAGACTTTTCAAATATCTTATACATTTTTCAGTTCCCGTTAAACCATCTTTGACTGACCCAAAATCTGAAGTTATAGAAACTAATTTTCCTAAAGATGTCAAAATGGCATGCCAAGTGTCTGGAATTCCAAAACCGAAAATCACATGGTACAAGGTGAGATTCATTAGTGACAATACTATGAAACAAAATCTTTGGATAATATTATTCGAAATATATTATTCAACGAACGAGGAATGTGGTCATTACTCATGAGATTCAAAAACGTTTATTACCTATTGTGTTACAATTCTAATTCAAATCTAGGGTATTAATTTTATTATCACATTCCATTTCATTTACATATATGCAAAAATAGATTTGATTATATTCAAACGGAGCGTCCAGCAGTCATTGGCCCAAGTATTCCTTCGCCTTGTCGGAGGTGGCCCGGCGGAGAACACTTTCCGCTGGTGTTAACAGTAGCTCATTTCCAACCCCAGGTTTATCAGTATATATGGTGATCAGCCACATACCTTCTGCCTGAAGGCTTATGTATATGTGATGAATCTAAGGCTTTCTACGACAATGTAAATTCTAATTCAGAGCTTGGATGGTTTTTAATGGTGTCCCCCAGATGCTCGTAATTTCTTTCGTTAGTGGACTTTTCGGCAAGTAACATTTGTAGAATTTATAGAAAAGTCTACGAATATGGTCCGTAATGCTCTCCATTCCAGCTAGTTACAGTAAGTTATAATTGATGACGATACGGAGTACCTTCTTCTGCATCCTTTCGAGCCTCAGAAGTGTGGTCTTCTTGAAGCAACACAACACTGGTCTTGTTATTAATTTATAGATCAGTGATTCATTTTCCATTGATAGATTACAGTTTCTAGCTATTAGAGGGTAGGTTCGAGTGTGAATAGGTGTGAGCCAAAATGAACCCTTGCGGGTCGCGGTGAAGGGTCAAATAGACCCACTCACTTTTGACCCAACCTAACCCAACTCAATCACCAGTAGTAGTTTTCCAAACATTTTCAAATTTGTGAAATAATTTCGAAAGTTCACGAGTTCTATCTTGGACGTGTTGAGGGATATCCCATTCTTCTCTAGAAGAATGGGATATGATTATCCTGTCCAGGTGAGCCTGGTTGCTCATTTGCAACCTCGCTTGAGAACAAGTGGGCATATATAGTATCATCCGCATACATGGCCACATTCATTCTCTCAAAAATAGGCAAATCACTCATATATAGTGAGTATAGGTGGGGGACAAGCACGACCCCTGCAGAACACCTGCCTCGAGTGTTCAACGGATTTAATCCTTACCTGAAACGCCCTACCAGTCAGATAGGAATCTTTGATTTTTACCATATGTGGCGGCATGCCTATCCCCAGCAGCTTGCGAATCAATCCGTCTATCCAAACCTTGTCGAACGCTTTCTCCATGTGTACAATACGGCCCACCTGAGAAATGGTGTTCACCCTTTTTAAGAATCCGGGATAAGTATCATTCCTCAAAGGGAATGAATCTCTTGAGAAGGATTTTGCCAACAATGTTGACGACTGCGCTCAGGAGTGGAATAGACCTGTAACCATTCAGATCCGTACGACTTGTACGCTTTGTATGTGAGCACACAGCTTTTTTCAAATAAGTCAGATAGTCATTTGATGATTGCATTCATTATGTAGATAAACTGAACCAGGGCCCTATGCGACAGATTCTTGAGTAGAACTGCATCGACCTTGTCCAGTCCGGGTGCTTTATTCTTTGGTAGTATTTTTATTGTTTCTGTTTGTTTGTCGGGATTCGTTAGCAGTCGAGAGAATCCATCCCGTAAGAATGAAGTTTGCCGTAAATCATTCAAACTAAGTCAGGTGCTAGAAATTGATTCGAAGTGAACCGTCTCTGCCTGTATTTCAAAATTATCATCATTATGTTGCTCCCAGAAGCAAACTTTTCGTATATATGATTCTAAATAGGAAATGATACCATAACACACACTTCCGAGCCAATCACAGTAGACCAGATTCATATCTTACTACCTTCGAGTACAATCACAGACAAATAAATTTGGTTATATAACAGTATAATGAAATTGTAGGGAAAAAGGTCTTGGCTATCTATTTCTCCATCTCCATACGGAAAATGTTGAACATATACAAAGGAAGAAAGTATGCAATTAATTTCAAAATAAACTCTGCACAACAATGTATAGATCATGCACAGGAATTACTATTAGATTCGAATTTGAATAAAAAGCCCCTCTCGAAACATCCATCTTCATGTGAACATTGAATTACAGGAAATAAAAATTACTTTCGAAACAAATACTTTTATATGAAAATTGAATCACACGGAAATTGACCGTTCAAGTTGTACTCCAAACAATAGTTATGGAATTAAATCAGATACATAATGTAGTATACGAATAATTAATACGAAATAAAATACCACTACAGAAGAACCCCGTCATCCTTAAAGGGAGGCTACACCAATCTGGATAACGTTACAAAATGAAGCACCCAAATGATTCATAACAACTTCATGTCACCGTTGAGTTGAATCTACCCATGTTACGATCACGATACGTAATGACATCGGTATTTTCATTTGATTATATCCTAGCCATAGGAAGGTTTCACCGTATTTTCTAATTTTTCTAGGGAGTCCTTGAACATGTGCTGAAAATGCTGAGACATCTTCTAGGTGACTTCTTGCAAACTGCGTAGTGGCAGATGAAATATTTATTATTATTATGTATTCTTGAGAGGCTGAAATCATTCAGTATTTCAATAAAATAAATTATATTACCATCCTTTGCATTTAATAAAATATTTTTCCGTGATGGAAATAATGTATATCTTGAAAAAGAAATATTTTCCGAAAAAATTTGTTTTTTTGAAAAAAACTTTTTTGACTTTCTTGTCAATTATTTTCCTCCCAACTCAAATGAAGCTATCACTTTCGGAGTTGACTACCTGTGTTTTCAATACAAAACCATAGTTTCCTTGACAACATATTCATTGAAGAGTGGGCCTACATTATCTATTAATGACTCTTGAATCGCGACGAAATAGGCATCCACCACAGTTCAATTTTGAAACAATTCATATTGACTGAACCATTGACAAACCATTGTACCATTGACAAACTCAGTTATATTTTGCAGAATATTTATGAATACATCAAAATATTCATTGACAGATTGTAGACTGAAGATCAACATGAGTAGTTTCATTGACTATTGCTAATATGTATATTCATAGAATCACATAATCTGAGTATAAGTATATAAATGCTAAAGATGGCAGGGCGGGTACATGCAAATTTAGCTAAGCTATATTGTCACTACATATAGATTGATATCGATGCTACTAGAATTATCTTATTCCACAGAATGACATTGATATCAAAGCAGAAGGAGCAAGAATTATAATAGATGATGAAAATCAAACACTACGTTTCAATACCACAAGAGAAGATGATGCGGCCGAGTACAAATGCATGGCAAAAAATAAAATAGGGGTAGTTTTCAAGCACTGGTCACTGCGCTTCAAAAGTGAGTAAAAAAAATCATGAACGAAATTGAAGTGTTTTTTGATGAAGTATTTTGAAAATCACCTCCATAACATTGACTTTAAAATTTTTAAAATGTCTTTTCAATTGCAGATTCGCAGAAAACATCAGTGTGGCTCTATATCGTGATCATTATCCTTTTCATTATATGCATAGTTGCTGTGGCTGTTATATACATCAGAACACAAAAAGAACGGGTAAGATACTAGTATAATTTTATTTATATGTACAATGTTTTTAACTACATGTTAATCAAAGTTTTCCATTTTCTAAGAATATGTTAACAATGTCTTTACTCCCTCGTATTTTCACAGTATGAAGCACAATTGAGTTTATCACGATTAGACTTTTGATTATCCAAAAATCAACATAGGGGAGGGTGGGGTAAGTGAGACACCTTAAGGTTCAACAATTTATGACTTCTCTACTTTAACAAATCAAATGACGTGTAAATCACTAGACAGTTTTACAACTGTCTAGTAAAAATTACACAATAAAGTGTTTATAGAATACTATTGTATTATATTGTATTGTATTGTATGGCTAAACACGTATTGCGTTTTTGTAAAACAGTCTTGTGAAAATCACACAATAAAGTGTTTTTAGAATACATTAGTAATAGATTTTCATCAAGTATCGGCCGACTCCATCATATATTTCAGGGAAACGTAAGATTTAAAAAAAAGTTGAAAAATGACTCACTCGCCCCCAAGATGTGGAGTAAGTGAGTCCTTATACTAATTATTTATCAACTACAGTTGTCTCAAACATAAATATTAGCCCCCGGCTCATTATCTGAACACTCCTCTTGCATCCAGGCACCATATTCTACGAATAGGATCCATTCTTCGTAACAAGTGTCTCCATATGTCTCATGACAGTAAACGCATATTGTGGCTTTTTTTTCTCTGACATTGTCATTGATTTTGCTGATGCACCTTTTTCCTTTTCCTCTAAGTTTTCCCTTTTTTCACTTTTTCAACAAATGAACTTGGCGCTGCTTGCCCAAAACTCTTCTTGGCTGATTTAGCTTTCTCTGTTCTCAATTTCTCTTTCAATTTCTCTTCTCGTTGGTTTGTGTAAGGTGAACTGGTGATTATTTTAAATCGTTTTGTGGTTTTGGATTTTGTTTTGGTGTTGCTTTTCTTTTGAGATGGTTTTGTCATAGGACTTAATTTTGAAATGTGGACATAACTACATGAAGGTTGTTCTAGCTCTAAACTTGCTTTGGTGTCCTTTTTCTTTTGAGGTGGTCGAGGAATTGCACTTAAATTTGAAATATCAACATCACTGCAACTCAGTTGATCTGGCTCTAGAATTGTTTTGATGTTATTTTTCTGTGAGTTGGTTTTGAGATTGGATCTGAATCTGAAACTGAAACAGAACTGCAGGACGGTTGTTCTGTGGACTCTGAAAAAACTGATATGACGTCAGGAGTGCTCTGGATGTCATCTTCAGGTGACTCTGGATTAAGTGAGTTCGCCAAGTTTACAGAATTAACCGAGGGATTGACATTTTGTGGGTTGGATTCTGAAAAATGTTTTTGGCTGCTTAAAACACATCCGGATCATACGGACAGGTTCCCGTTTTTTCAAAGCCCTTGATGATATTTATTGGGTGATTTGTAAACCAGTTGTTCATTTCTTTTGCCAAGTAGGTTTTGAATGGTCCAAATACGTTTAAATCAACTCCAGAATTTCTAGCCAGATTTATTGACTCGATGGACTTGTGGCTTGAATGACCGTCTAATATCAGTAGGCTCGGAGACTCCTTCGTCATTTCAGTGCATTCTATAAAATGCTTCAAAAATTTAACAAATAGGTCGGCATCCATCCATCTTGATTTGGCAGGAAATCCTACTGTTCCAGGAAATGCACCATTCAGCAAAGTTGGATTCATTCTTATACGAGGGAAGACTACAAATGGTGGAATGAAGGTTCCCTGAGCACTGAAACATTTGGAAAAACGTTCTCAGGAACTTTATTCCACGTAAATGCAGTTGTCCAAATGAAAGAGTTTTTGAAGAGTCACTTGAACACTCTCCATGAAAGTATGTATAGGAGAGAGACAAATCTTCAACCTTTTTTCGATATTACATACTATCACGGTTGCAAGTGATGTTCGCGTCTCCAAACAGGCATATGGATCCTTACTGGTTGGAATTCAGCAGCTTCATGGTATGCTTAGGGACGGAGCTCCATGCATGAGAACAATACTTCAAAGAAGGTCTGATCTGTGCTTTATAAACCATCAAAAGTTGCTGAGGCGTGTATAGTTTTCTGGTTCGGAACAGTGTTCCAAGCTTTTGAGAAGCAGCCTTTGCAGTTCCAGCGAAATGATTGTGTCAAGACATATTGGTGTCCATTTTAACCTCCAACAAACTTATCTAAGCCAGTAAGTGAAATTGTCTGACCTGATATTATTATATCCGGTTTGGAGACATTTATCTTTCTGGAGAAAAACGATGCCTGGATTTTTGTGGCACTGAATTGAACCTGATTATTTTCAACCCAATTCGACATTACTTCTAGATCCTCAATAAGATATGCAACCTCCTGCTGTCGGTGAAGATGTACATCCGCTACCGATGTCCTGGAACCCAAATGGAATGACGAAACAAGTGTGCTGTCGTCAGCAAAGCAATATATTGGATTCTTAGTTTTTCCAATAAGTCGTTGATATACAATAGAAAGAGTGTCGTAGGCAATATATAGTCACCACTTCATCCTTAACGAATTTGATAAATTTTATACTGAAACGAATAATTTCCATATGGGGTAATCTGATGAATAAATTGGGCTGAAAAATTGACACGAATTGAGTGAGGTAAATGATGGAATATAAATCCTGGCCATCACTCAATTCTTGACGAGTATAGTCAATTGAATAAGCTGAAAAGGAAGATTTATAATTTCTCTACTTGCTGTCCACGACTTCGCCCGCGTAGAATTTCATTTGTCATATAGGTTTCGTGTCAGACTATTTTGAACAAATAGTTACAATATTTTTTTATCAACCCCAAACTTCTGGTTTGCAACTTCAAAACTCAGGAAATTCAATACAATATTCAAACCCCTACTTTTCCTGCTTATGATGGAAATGCCTGATTCCCTTTCTTCATGCTTATTTCATTTTATTTTTATTTATTTATTTATTTGAAAGTAGGGAATCCTAATATAAAACCAAGTCCAAAAAGGTAAAAATGGTAGATAAAAAATATTAAAATAGCATAAAAATTCTTCTAACAATAAAATACGTTCAAATAATATATAAATACAAGAAGCTAAAAAGCTAAAAATAAAAATGTGTTCCAAAGAATATTGTCCCATAATACAGAAAAATTCAGGAGTATTCAGAATAGTTAGTTCCATATTACAATTATACTAGGGCATAAAAATAATTATTCGAGTGGGTAGGTGATGAAATATTTAACATATCACAATGTAACACGATGTAACACACAATGTAACACGATGTAACACAATGTATACAGAACACATAAAAGCTCGAACCAATAAAACAATTCGATGATGTGAAACATAAAAATAAAAAAAATTAAGAAAATTCATAAAGTACGTGATGTAATATATATTTTCAACTGAGCTTCGAATGAATATAAAGTTACAGAATCTTCAATGTGGTATGGTAATTGGTTAAAATTATTCAATCCTCTGAAAAACAACGATTTCATAGATTGCTTTGTTCTTGTCCTGGAAATGTGGAATTGATTGGTGGTTCTTGTGTTGTAGTCATGAATTTGATTATTGTACATTCTGATATGGCAATGAATATTACTCAGGCAAAGTGTGAATAAATTTACAATTTTTCTGCAAATGAATAAGATAGAAAACAAAAAATTAAAATCGCTATATTGGTATCGTTCAATAGTACCAGAAAATAGGCAACTTTGCCACCTTTGCCTACTATCTACTACGAACGTCTGTTTTTCCTGAAGTCTGGAAAACTATAAGAGTTTGTTCAATACTCAAAGCTCAATAACGGAATGAAATCAGTAATCACAGACCTACCTCAATCCACAACAACTCTGCCAAACTTCTTTGCCAAACTTGTATAGCCGTATCTTTCGGTCCTCTCGACATATAATATCAAATCAACATGGTTTTATGAATTCTAGATCCACAATTACGACCNATTTTTAATTTTTTTGCTGTAGAAGCAATTGTCCAAGAAATCTATATTTACATCACCTATTAAAATAATTTTTTTGTTAATTGTGAGATAATCTTCACACCACCCTTCAAATTTATCTTAAAATTTACTATGACATGCATTTGGTGAATGATAAAGTCCAGCAATCAACCACTTACTACCATTCAGTTCAACATACACCAGTAATTTTTATCCAAAAAGTATTTTTTCTTCACTGAATAACTGACATCTTCACGCACATAAATGAATACTCCTTCGGTATGTCGGCTTGAGAAATCACATATTATAATGGAATATCCAGTTCACAGTTAAGAATATCACTCGTGCATCTGGCTTCACCATCGTCCATTCTATGGACGATGGCTTCACTGAGAATCACTACTGATGCCGATAACAAAAAATGTATGAGCATAAAAAGTTTCAGCATTCATATTAATTATGTCAATCCTGTTTATTATATTAGGACTCTGTCGTTTTTTTGAATATTGGATACATCAACAATGGTGGAAATATTGTTAATGTACTTCATCATCTCAGACTCACTTCTGGTCTTGCATTCATCTAATTGCTTTTTTAAATTTGAGAAATATTCTCTCTGAGACTTCGTTTGATCTGCAAAAATTTTGACACTATTGGTTTTAATTAATTTTTTGTTTCTCAACATTTTTAGGGCTTCTTCCGATGAAGGAAAACATACTATGACAGGTCTATTTTTGTTCTGTTCAAATTTGCCTATCCTATATACACGGATGTTTGAGGCATCTACCGCAATATTTTCAAGTAAATCTTTGATGGTCTCTCTATCATCTGTTATTGTGTTTGCATGTGTTTTATGCTTAAATTCATCAATATTAAGAACTATAAGGTTTGCTGCCCTTTTATGCCTCTCACATAGTTTCATTTGTTGAGTTGAATCATCAGAATTCAATTTTCCAACATCCTGTATAACGTGCCGTAATTGTAATTGATCAACCTCACCTTGTAGTTGTTTGTTTTGGTTTCTCAGTTGTTCAATTTCTTTGTGTAGGTCACACGTGCTTTCTAGTGCTTCTTTTATCTTCAGTTTTGGTGACACTTTTTCGGCAACTGTTGAAATACATTTGTCGTCAGTAAAAAGTTCCTTAATGGATTATTTGATTATAGTTTTGAAATGAATAATGTTTTCACGTGTAAAAGGCATTTCACATTACATGGACCCTCTCACTCACACTTATTTTGCACACAGCCTTTACTTTCTTCTCTTCTGTCAGTTTGTTCACTATGCGATTCAACACTTCACCACATCTGTCACCGTAATAAACTATTCCCGACGGTAGGTACTCCGAAAAGACGTCTGACCTGATCGATTGTCTGTAATGTACGATATACAGAGAACCTATCTGCATATTTCAAGATTCTAAGTTCAGTAGCTCCGGCTGTACGTTAATATAAGAGTCTCAGTCAATCAATACAATATTGAACAGCATGAGCAAAAAAATCTGAAATGATTAAAATTGAATAGATTGGTGATTCTAGTAATCCTACTCCTATTGATATTATAAATGCGTGAAGTTTGGGAAGATGGATGAATGTAATGTATGTATTCACTTTTTCAATTTTTTCACGCCAAAACAGCTCAACTGATTCAAATGTAGGTTGGTATGTAGATAGATCATGAGCTGGAATAACACATTGGGTAGGTTCCCACGGTATTGAGAGAAAAACAACGGGGAACAGCTTGTATTGTATAAGTGAGTACTAATTGATTGACTGACCGACACTCTTGTATCATCTTTCGGTCTAAGCTGCTGAAGCTAAAATCTTGAAATATGCAGATATGTTCTTTGTTTGTCGTGAATAAGCATCAAAAAAGAAAATCACGCAAAGATAAAATATAGGGGTTCAAAGATTGTATTGAATTTCATCACTTTTTGAGTTGATAAAAAATATTGTAGCCATTTGTTTAAAACGGTCTGTCACGAAACTTAATATGACAAACCAAATTCTACGCGGGAGAGGCCGCAGGCAACAGCTAGTAATTTGAATTTATACTTTTAAAATACAGTAATTAAAAAAATATGCCAACTGCACTAAGTAATGAATTTCTTCGAAAATTGAATTATGGTACCTATTGAGAAAATCTTGCAAACCTTAACACAACCGTCAACGACGTCTGCCTTCACGCGTCTGCCGGCGTTCGAGTCACGTTCTCGGCAATGGCGCTTCATTGCTTAGACCGCCCCTTTACCTCCGCGCATCGTCGCCTGTCGTCTTATAGTAGAGGCGACTTATAATGGCTTACTGCGTTGCGTCAAGTTCATCTTATCGTGATACCTTTCAAACGATTCATCCAAATTACTTATTATAAAAAAAAAGTGTATCCGTATCAAATACTCATAACGCCAATTGTATTAATTTTTATAAGAATTCGACAGATACTGTGAATTGTGCATTGTGAAAAAAGTATTCAATTCAATTGTATTTATGGTCTCAGTATTTTGCATATAGTGGCTACCACATAAAAGGAAGATATATGCTATCGCGGACTTTTATTTTGAATTATTTGAGATAAACTATCTTACGGTGCATTATCTGCATGTAACTCTAACAGTATAGGCAGCGCACGCCAAGATAGCTCTCAGGGAGCAAGCATTTTTCCAACTTACTTAATACTTATCGTTATATTGTGACCAAAATTACACAAAACCTCTGTTAATTGTAGCATATATAAGCTACAGCATAAGCTAGAGCATAAGCTCTATTTATGTAAAGTTTCATCTGAATCCGTTCAGTCGTTTAGGCGTGAAAGAGTCGCAAACTTTCATACATACACACATTCATCCATCTTCACGAACTTTCACATTTATAATATTAGTATAGATATAGAAGTTTAGATAGATATTACAATGCTTGATGATTCAATGCAGCCAAATAACAAAACTATCGTTTAACGAAATCAAAACATTTTATCATAATAATTATTTACTTCCAAGAAACCACAACTGATTATCAAGGAAATAGTACAAGAAAATACCATATATGTTGGGTATAAGTACTCTCTAACACATATAACATATATACAGTGTCACCATTAAAGTGCGCACCATATGGGAAACTTTAGGGATTTCAAATCATTTTATATAGTAGACAATGGAAGTCCGAACTAGTGAAATTCATCATGAAACATTGTCAATCACCTTCAAACAAACACTTATCGTTATATTGTGACCAAAATTACACAAAACCTCTGTTAATTGTAGCCTATATAAGCTACAGCATGAGCTAGAGCGTAAGCTCTATTTATGTAAAGTTTCATCTGAATCCGTTCAGTCGTTTTAGGCGCGAAAGAGTCACAAATATTCATACATACACACATTCATCCATCCTCACGAACTTTCACATTCATAATATTAGTATAGATATAGAAATATAGATAGATATTACAATGCTTGATGATTCAATGCAGCCAAATAACAAAACTATCGTTTAACGAAATCAAAACATTTTATCATAATAATTATTTACTTCCAAGAAACCACAACTGATTATCAAGGAAATAGTACAAGAAAATACCATATATGTTGGGTATAAGTACTCTCTAACACATATAACATATATACAGTGTCACCATTAAAGTGCGCACCATATGGGAAACTTTTTTTTCGAAAAGTTTCAATGAAGTTTAACTTCGGCACTTGTTTGTGCTTTAAATTTAACTTAAAAGGATGCGGCCAACTGCGACCCACTGACGATCAGTGTTTGTCAAATTCAACTTTTTTTTTTGAAAAAAATTGAAAAAGTGCATTTCTAGATCGAATTTAACAAAAAGTTACTTGAAAAAGTTGTATCTACGGCAATTTTATATCCATATGCCAAATTTTATGCAACGAGGATGAAGTTAACGTTTTGCTTATTTTTGGCAGATATCCCCCTTTTTTTTTCGGTTAATTGTCATCAATTCATGTATACATGACAAACTCATCATGGAGTTCAACTTTTCTGATACATTTTTACTCATACGGACATTTTTAGAGAGAAATTAAAAATGTGCTATAAAAATTTTAACATGACTGGTGCAAAGTTTCAATCANGTATATAACAGTTACAGTTTTGTTTTCATTATTTGTTTCGATTATATGAAATGTTTCACTTACTCTTTCAGGTAAACAACTTGGTTCGGGAGCGTTTGGTGTAGTAATGAAAGGAGAAGCTAAACACATAATCGAGGGCGAACCTGTTACCGTTGTAGCGGTTAAGATGGTTAAAAAAAATGCTGATCGTACTCATATCAAGGCTCTAGCCTCCGAACTCAAAATAATGGTGCATTTAGGAAAACATTTGAATGTTGTTAATCTTCTTGGTGCTTGTACGAAGAATGTGATAAAAGGTGAATATCATAGATAAAATTCACAGAATCATTCATAATTTTTCATTCAGACATAGTTTATATAAAAAACATCAAACATTTTCCAGAGGAATTACTGGTTATTGTTGAATACTGCCGATACGGGAATTTACTCAATTATCTTTTGAGACATCGGAGTCATTTCGTGAATCAAGTAGATCCTTTAACCAAGAAAGTTAATTATAATATTGGACAAGAAATACTGGACCGGACATATTCAGTCTCAAGTAGCAAAAGGTGAGTTGGAGAAATATACACATTTATGTTGGGTGCTTAAAAAAGTTTTACTCAGGACTCACAACAGTGTGAGCAAAATGCCTTCTGAGCCTGGATTGAACATTGCGAGATTTTGATACATAATTGTATGAGTGTTTAATTTGTTTTGACAAATTTTTCATCATACTAAAGTTGAAATAGAGCAGATTGTCTTCCCATGTATACGAATACCTAAGAAATTGGGGATTAACAGCCAGTTTCCAAGTATGCCCACTCAATGTATTACGTACTGTGAGGATGACAGTGTTAAATGTTAGTGAAATATCGTCTGTGACTGATATTTGATTCAATTCTATATAACGAGTGTTTGGAATATAAACTAAATAGCGAAAATTGTTTTTGCAGAATTCAGTGTTCATATGAAAGTAGTTGTTTCGAAAGTATTTTTCTTTCCTCTAATTTAATTATTATATGAAAGTAGCTGTTTCGAAAAGGCTTTTTTCCAGTTTGTGTTTGAAAGTTCCTTTTTTGCATGATCTATACTTCTTGGTATAGAGTTAGTTTTTTAAAATTGATTTCTTTCTTTCTTCCTTCGATAGAGTCCCATATTAATTTGTACAAGGATAAAGAAGTAAGAAGCCAAAACTTTTCTTTGCCAATATTTTGTTAAGCTAGAAAAGCTTTATCGGTGAAAAGCTGAATTTTCTCGACAATTTTTTTTGTTCCAATCAAAAGATAGGAGAAACGACCTTTTTACTCTCGCACTTCATGAATTGAATCTACACAATTTATCATAACGTATTTATGTTGATATTTCCAGTCTGTTCCATGAACAACACCAACACAAGTCACTGACTCATCTTGGAATTGACACACCATTCTTGAATAATTTAACGTCAGATCTGAACATCAAATTTCCTTAGGAATATTGCTAGAAAATTTGGTTGAATCATACATCAAATTGTTGAGTGTTCGATAAAGTTATTTTTTGAATTTGTTTCCATTTCTCTACTTTTCTGAACACATTATTTCACACATATCAAATACAATCACTCAAAGATGGAAACTTTGCTTTGCGGTCTAGGTCAAGCTTCAGCATGTAGTATGAGTATTATTAGATTACTTTAGATTTTCTAAAGGAAAAAGTATTTACTATGCTCTTAATAATTTCACCTAGTTTTTGGAAAACAGCGGAAAAGAACTCAAATTTCATGTTTCGGAAAAATATTCATGTAATCTCTCTGATAATGAAGCAGTCAATCATAATTCAATTCACTATAATAGATCTCTTTTGGGACGTTAGCCCCTCGGATAGTTAAGGAGAGTAGCCTCAACAAGACTTCAACATCAGTCTTTTTCATTCATTATTTGTTATTTGTTTTCAATGAAAGTCGAATTATTGTTATTATCATCATTATTATTTTCAATAAATTCTCAATCAGCGTTCACATTCATTCATGTTTTCATAAATATATATGCTTATGTGCAGTGCAGATCTGTAGAATTTACCTTCCACTTTTGAATGTGACAAGATATGAAGTGTTTTTTGTTGTTTGTTGCAACGCTTCCCGGTGAGAACGCGCTACCAACTTTTTTCAAACGGAAGAGAGGGTTTTGTAATACTTCGTTTGGTGGGTCTAGTGAAATTAGGTGAAATTAGGTACTGACTAGTAAAAATATTCACTAGTCAGTACCTGACAATGATGAAGTTTGTTCACAAATTCACCTCTAATACCATAAAATGTTTCTGGGGTAATTTTATTAGAAGAAACTCTCGTTCTATTCATGAGTTCTGTAATACTTGTAGACTGTCCTCGCACTATGCTCAAGCCAACGACAAACAACACGTTTGTATACTTCGTTTGGTGGGTCTAGTGTAATTAGGTTTATTTCACTGAATATTGGAAATATTCACTAGTCAGTACCTGACAACGATGAAGTATGTTCACAAATTCACTTCTAACACCATAAAATGTTCCTGGGGTAATTTTATTAGAAGAAACTCATGAGTTCTGTAATACTTGTAGACTGTCCTCGAACTATGCTAAAGCCAACGACAAACAACACGTTTGTCATCGTCCCATCTGCCTATGAACGAGGTAACCAACCGCATATCTGAAATTTGCCCAACTCCTCGTATAAGGGAGAAAAATTTACAAGTTGAGTGGGCGTACTTGGAGACTAGATGTAAATCAAGTTATCTAAAAGAACTAATCGTTCGCCAACAGTATATTCAGGAATAGCTTCAGTGAAGAATCCTGCACTGACACCTGTCGGGTGCCCTTCGTGGTATTAGCCAGAGAAGTAATTGATTTCTAATATGTGTCAGCTCATTAATCTACAGTGTTGGTAATTTGAAACTGGCTGAATGAATTTTTCTTTTAGATAATTTATTGAACTTCATTCGCTTATCACAGTCGAGGAATTTTGTTTCAATTGAAAGGGGTATATTCGAAGAGAATAATAATTTTTGGGAGAAAAAGGTTTTGGCTTTCTCCTTCCCCATTTTTATACAAAAAGATGCGTGGAATTAATTTTTTTTAAATTGATTGCTTTCTTCTTTTCTTTGGAATATTGCCACATTTTTTCTACATTTTGTTTTATAAGAGAGGACATTGTTAGATCAAGATCTTCAGATGATGTGGTGCTGCAGGTTTTTCCGGGTTTTCCTGCAGCTGAAAAAGCAAATGCGCCACTGGAATCAATGAAGTCGCCCCGGAGCGCCAATTAATTTTTATTGTTGTTTTTATTTTATTTTTATCGTTGTTTTATTAATTGTATTGTATTACATTTCTGATGAAAAAATGTTTCCTATAAATATGGTAAAATAGAAAGGAAAAACCTCTTTCCCAGAAATCAATACTCCTCAAAAATTACCCCTTCCAATTCAAGTAAAATATTATCATTCGATACATGTAGTCGCATGCTGTGAATGTCGTTATGTTGTGATCCTGATATCTATGATATTATGCTGGGAGCTACTTGGGAGCTTGTTCGTATAAAAGTCTGATGAGCCTCATCTCACAGGGTCTGATAGGACTTCTTAATTTATGCATGTTAATAATTACAGATTTTCACAATGTAGACTTTATTTGCGATATGTATTTTACTACAACAGTAGTTTCCTCAATTGGACTGATGAAACTACTATGGCAGTGAAACTTGTCTTTGAAATAAGACCTATATCGCGATATAAATGTAAGTGAAATCGTGAAAACAGTTCACATATCTTTAGGGCATGACATGATCATTATATTCATGATTGTTTGACATCAACCAAAATAGTGAGGTACTATCCATTTTTCAGTATTCCACATTCACCATCTCTGAAGTATGCTGCACTGGGGTTCTCCAACAGAGACAACAGTTCCAGAGAACCACTTCCTGATAATATGAACGACTACAGAGCAGAAGCTTGCTCAGATGGAATGTTCAAAACGGACACTACAGCTGTTACTCAAGGTAATGGGATTTGTCGTTAATGTCATAGTAATCGTTGAATCAATATTGAATGCTGGTGTTCTTATTGAATATAGTTACGTATTTGACAATATATAATTATCGTTCACGTATAGTCAGTGGGCATACTTGAAGACTGGCTATAAATCAAATCATCTAAAAGAACAATTCGTTCAGGCCAGTCTCAACACCCTACACAGTAGGTTAATGGACTGACACCTATCAGAAAACAACTACTCCNGAAGTTTCATTTCTCATTTTTTATGATTATCTCCTACCACTTACTAACGACTACATTTGTTTTTAGTAAAAAAAAAAGCCAAAACCTTTTTTTTCTCAGTCTAGTTATGTTATACGGAAAAGATGATTGGAACTGACTTGTTCTATGCAGTGGTGGCGTACGTCTAGATTTGAATCGTACATTCAGGTGGTGGGGACGTCCGTGCAAAAGATTATTTTTTCATAAAGATAAAGTGACTTCTTCGTTCGTATAATATAATGGAGCAAAGTTCAGGTATGGATATTTTGTCTATTGCAAATATTGAGCCAACCAATTTTCCTCAGTGGACCGGATACGTGATTTTGTCTTTTCAGACGTTGATTCAAACGCACACATGAGTTCTGAACCATTTGTAACCGATGGCAATCTCTTCTTGAAATTGCAGGAATATTTATTATGTCGGCGTAGTTGGAATAAGAATAGGCTAATGACTGACCCAAGATGATTTTACTTTTTTTATCTATTTTTTTTTCTGATTGATTCGGCCGTTACTTGATGAAGATCCATAGTAATTTCATAAACTACACCTCACGATTTGAACTCCACAAACTTTATTTCAATGGTCAAACTGATCAAATTGGTCAAACTGGCAGAACATTTAGGAATCGAATACAGGAACATCATATGAGCTATGTAAATAAGAAAATAATTTCAACATATTCAAATCATCTTTTAGAAGAAAATCATATCTTCAACTGAGAATTTGAAATTTCACATATGGAAAATGAAGGTTTGAAACTGAATCATTTGGAAGCAATGGAAATTAATAAACTTAAAAATTCAAACATTCTAATGAATGATCAACTGGATTTGAATAAATCACCATTATTGAACTTTTTTTATTAGAAAAACCGAGAAAGAATTATTATTGATGTAGAAGTGAGGTAATATGCTTCAGGTGATCATAATTGACGAGGTATCTCAAGAAGAGGTTTAGGTAATTTGTCGGAGGCAGTCTCAAATATGATTACCTGTAGAATATAAATATTAGTGTAAGAAACTTGTAGTATTCAAATCACTGTTGATAAAGCTACTGTGTTTGCGAAACATGTCGTGATATATTTTTCAAATGAAATTTGTGGAGATCAAATCGTGAGGTGTAGTTTATAACATTTTTGTATCTAGTATTTTTCTGAATGAATCAGTTTCAAGTTGGCGAAGGCATGTCGTACGATGGAAGTGATATGACCATCGAAAATAATTTATCAACTCATAATCATAACAACAGCACCTGGGATCAAAAGTTTCGTTATCAATGAATTAAATCCTCAATAAAATGCAGACTAAATGACTGAGCTGGCTTCCATCACACAAATCATCAAAACCTAAATGAAATAACTATGTAACTAATACCAATGAGATTACCTCACGTATGAATATGACCAAAACCTAATCACGGTAAAAATGTGAACGTAATATCACTGATTTTTTTAATCTTTTTTTCAGAGGCATTTCAGTTGTCACCATCATGAATGTAGTTGGTTGATTCTGAAAATGTGTATAAAGCCAATTCTGGTGCGATTGATATAGTAAAAAATCAAAAAATACAGAAACTCATTATGACCTTGTCAATTAAAGTAATGTAATAGGTTAAATCAATATTGCAAAAATTATTCCTGAAGAAAATGTAGCATATATCTTTACTGAGGCTTTAGGGTGAAATCAATTTGAAGAATTTAGAAACATGTTGAATATAAAATATTTGAAGATATTACTATATGGAATGAAATTTGTTGAAATTGAAATTTAAATTCAAGAAGGCGAATTGGAATAGAAGTTGGTTCCATAGAGCGCCACTGATGTAATTGTACTTGCATCACATTGACAAAAATGTATCATTATAAACTGATATAAACCCATCTTTCACTTTTTTTAATACAAAATACGCAAGTGTTATTGTATATATCATTTGTAGTAAGTGATGATGGTTTGATCTTGAGCAATAATAGCGCCCAACCAGAATGGCGATCAAATTATACTGGCGACTATAAAGAAAATGGAAGACCGATGAGTACTAAAGATCTTATTGCTTGGTCGTTTCAAGTTGCCAGAGGGATGGAATATTTGTCATCCAGAAAGGTTTGTCCTTATATTCACTTCTATAATGACATCTATAACTCTCATTATTTTCCCAGGTCCTTCATGGAGATCTAGCAGCTAGAAATATTCTTCTAGCGGACGACAATGTTGTGAAAATATGTGATTTTGGTTTGGCCAAAAGCATGTACAGAAGCGACGTTTATGTGAAACGTGGTAATGTAAGTACTACTGATTTTTTTTTACTTTAGAGTGTGTTTCATTCATATTTTTCAATGGGATATCTTCTTGATTTCTGTCATGCCATTTGAGATTGATTTTTTCACCCGTTCTAATATTGTCACATTTTCCTAATGCAAATTGATAATATTCACTACGGCTCCACGACTTCAAGTAAATGAAAAAGTACATAATAGAAAATATTTTCAAATATGTGGAATAATATTAAGATCATATGCCAATTCACCCACCAATTTTTGGCTAATTCCACTATTGTTATTTAGTAACTATAAACTGAAAAGTAAATGTACGCATTGAAAAAAGTTAATGATGGAATCCAATGAAGAAAACCTCGTATTGGATATTAGTTCATACTAGATCATAACAAATATTAAATAGCACAGTTTTCCGTGCTCACATCAAGCACGGTAAATTATGCAATCACATTCTATGAATGATGTGTGATTCAATTTCATTAATGATATTTGGAGTACAAACTGAATAGATGAGTTTTTTTCGTATATTGAATGTTCATATGGAGGCAGTTGATTCGAAAGTATTTTTTCTTTCGTGTAACTCAATGGGTGAATGGAAGTAGTCATTTGCGAAGAGTAAAAACTCAAAGTCGTCTCCACAATTTATCATCACCCCCAGATATTAGAACAGTACAACCATTAATCAGTACATGTTTCGAACCTATATAGGTTCATCATCAGCTAATCATTTGAAATTCTACTATAAAAGAAGAACAACATAACAATAGTTAGTTTTATTAATTTCATAAGTATGGTTATATAGTTGTTTCGTGGTCAGTTCCAGTTGTTTGACACCTTTACCTCATTGGGCAATAGATGTCTCGTATGGTGGTGCTGACCGAAACATTTGTTATTCCAACCTTATTGACTCACAATTCAACTCATGGTATTACTTTCACAAATTATTCTAACAAGATGGCATTCATACAGGGCTTTTCATGATGTGCGTTAATTAGCCGTTTCTGGCAAACTATTCAACGGATCAACCTGAAAATTCCACAGTATGCATAAGTCAATATGACCTACACGCCTAAAATATTTTAGACGAAGCGGCGTTGTCGCTTCTACTATAAAGTAGCGGCTTCTTTGATTTTTCAAATGGAACACCCCGTATATAATATCATNGGAAATTGTGGATATCTTTCATGAAATACTCGGCATGTTCTACTTGCAATTCTATTGCACTCACCATAAATTATTAATGAATTCAAGAAATCTTCAGTACTGTAACCTAATCTTGACATTATTCTATTATAATTGGTAGCTATCACAATCAGTCAAAACCACCAACGAAAGTCTGACGTTGAATAATTGGTTTATTTATCAAAGCACACTATTAAAAAATATTAATGTGTACTGTTGTACGTTAGAGTCCAATACCTCAATGTATACAAATTGTAACTTTTTCTAAGATAGGTACATACCAATTTCGAATTGACTGATCTGAGATAGTTAAAAAACTGAATCAAAAAGAAATATTACTTAGTGTAAAAAAAATGTTGAATATCCAAAATAAGTGATGAATTCAAAAAAACGAGCAAGAAAACCACGTCAGTTTCCATTTCCAGATATGACGTGTATTTCTGCCTGCAGCCAAAAATTTTTATACCCACTTTCAAATTTCACCTCCAGCTCCTCATTAGTGCTAAGTACAAGTATGTTTAACAAATAGGCAGATTAGTGCTTACATTTTCTGACTCTAGCAAACACTAACATCGATTCACTTTACTATACTGTGTATATCATTTCTTGGCATCCGTGTTTATTAATTATATTGGTGAAGAATCGAACAAGTTCATACAGGATTGCAAGCTCACACACACACAAGTTGTATTTCGTTTCTCTTGCACGTCTGAACAAGCGTTGCGGACAGCGGCGGTGGTACTTTGCAAGTCTCGACATGTTGTCAAGCCGACGTTTCAGTTCTTCACTATCGAAACCAGGTAATTTTTTCTGAGGGAGGGGGGGCTTACGAATTGTGAACCCCCATTTTTTGGTCACGCCAACCTACACCCCCGGCGAATTTCTCGTGGTCCATCTGATTCACTTTGGGAATCACTGGTTTGATCAATCCGTACATAGGATGTTTACATTAGGTACATAGGATGTTTTTCGCATTCGACTCCTTTCGCGCGGTTTGTTAGGTAGGTTGTCCTGAGCGAGTATTCTAAATTCCGACCTCACTCTCGCAATTTGGTTGAATTTTTACCTCCCCGAGATTTCGTCGAATTCCACCTTAAATTTCAGAACTTTTGGTGTGTCGGCGACTTCATTCAAAATATATCACAAAAATATAATTTATTCAAGAAATGGTATATGAAAAGAAAACGAATCATGAAGAATGGAAATACAAAACCTATTTTTGGTATTCGTTTTTCCAACTCAAATATTTTTATTTTATGATATCCAAAATATACATTAGAGAAAGCTGCGAACTCAAGTTGGTTCTGTGAATGAAATACACTTTAAAGCACTCGAATATTGTAACATTCCATTTTGAGAAAAATAATTTCAATATTTTCCCAGTGTCCACTCCCTATAAAATGGATGGCCATCGAGTCTCTAAGGGACCATGTATTCTCAGTGCAGTCTGATGTGTGGTCATTTGGTATTGTTCTCTGGGAGTTTTTTTCTTTAGGTAGAACACCTTACTCTGGAATAGAAGCCGAGAACCTTCACCCTAAATTATTGGATGGATACAGAATGGAATCTCCTGAATTTGCACCGACTGATATGTAAGAGACATTGTTACTTTGCAATGAGTGAAAAGTATTCATTATTGAATGGAAGTTATTTTCTATGAAGGAATATAGAGTTTGATTGACCTTTTCTTGAACCAATAACTGTCAACATTTTGAAAATGGAAATTAGTTATGAAAATATTTTCCTCAAAGAAGACTATTCTCTTCAGCAATGACTTTTATTCAATAATTTCACCTATCAAAAAGAATTATTTGAAAATTTGTATAGTATCTGTCTTGATTTTCCGGTGACCAAAATCTGGCTCCATTTTCAAGACTCAAAAATCGGCTATCTATATAGCAATTTCCTTCAAGGAGGTTGCTTAACTTTCCAAATTCCTTCAAAAGATGTTGAAGAGATTAATTAGGAATATGTCAGAGTTTATGATTGACTACTGATTAAGTAGAAGGTATTTTGTGCCTTTTCGCCGCTTTTTACATCATTCCAAGAGATGGGGAGTCGAGTTCAGCTCGCCATTTCTTGAAATTGTCTCACCAGATATAATAATACCCTGGGAGGCGTAAACTTAAAGAATCGCATACCGTTATACCAGAGTGGTCTCAGAAATTCTCGGCTTGACTGAGAGTAGCGATAGTTGTTTGAAAAACATCACTGTATTAGAAAGTACATAATGGTATAAAGCATATGTTTCAAGTTTGAAGACGCTGCGTTGTTGAGTATTCGTTTGGCAGCCATCAATAGCGAACGTTTTAGGTGAATTTGTGAAAATGCTGAAAATTAGTCATCGTTATAAAACAACCACTATAAAAGCTGAACTGGAATCTACTCTGGTTGAGTCTGCTTCTTTGTTTACAAAAGTAGAATATTGGTTAGAACAGTTAAAAATGAAGCCATACGACTGCCAAGACGAGCATCGCAGTGGTTGACCAAATGAGGTGACGACTCCAGAAATGGTGAAGAAAATCTACAAAGCGGTACTGAATGATCGTCGACTGAAAGTGCACGATTAAGCAGACTCAGTAGGCGTTTCAAAAAGTGCGGTACATCGTATATTGCCTGAAAATTTGGACATGAGAAAACTGTATACAAGATGGGTGCTGCGTTTGTTCACACTCGAACAAAAACAGTGTCATGAAGATGTTTCAATTGAGTTTGTATCGAAATTTCACAGCAACAAAGCAGAATTCTTGCGTCGTTTAATAACCATGGATAAAACATGGGCCCGTCAATTCACACCCGAGATAAAAAAAACAATCAAAACAGTGGAATCAAATGGGAGAACCGGCTTCAAAGGAGACGAAAACCGTTTCATCTGCAGACAAAGTCATGACATCGGTTTTCGGGATGCTCATGGAATAATTTTCATTGACTCTCTTAAAAACGTAAAATTATCAACGGCGAGTATTATGCAAACTTATTGCAACGTTTGAGTGAAAAATCAAACAAAAACGGCCGCATTTGATGGCATATTTCAAAATTTTCTTTTGTTTAAAAAAACTGTTAATTTTGAATTCTGAAGAGGAAACCTCATATAAAGCCCACCATTACCAATGTCAACTTTTCGGATTGTGGAAGTTCATTTTGCTTTAGAAACTAACATTGATAAAATTGCTGAAAGTCATGTTTTACTCATCATCGTATTATTTCACATCTAGATTGAATTCTGACATTGTCAACTTTCTTCAAATGAAATTCACTCCGCAAAAAGTTATCGAATACAATAGGAATATTAGATTATTTCAAAAGTTTTGTTCGTTTTTATGAGTCTACTTTCAAATATAATGTATCAGAGGATACTCATTCAATTTATTCGAAATAAGCAGCATTCAAATCAGTGCTTTTTGTCAACGTAACACAGGTCGATTGATTCCGTCAGCATGAAAATTGTGTGCTCGGTTTTCGATGAAGTCGACGAAGGCCATTTTTACCTGGTCCACATTGGCGTAGGTTTTGCAGGTGAGAAAGTTATCGAAGTGCTTGAAAAAATGGTAGTGGATTGGCGAGAGATCTGAGGAGTTTGGTGGATGAGGCAGAACTTTGACGGTTGATTAGTTTGATTTTTGGACGGTGATTTGTGAAACGTGTAGACCAGTGCCGGCTACTGATGTCGCAATTTTTGGTACATTTCATCGATTTCCTCACAATTAGATACTGCTATGATGATTTTAGAGTGTTCAATTAGGTATAACATCACTAAATATTCATTTTTCTCATTTCCAGTAACAGATTTTTGCAGTTCTTGCATATTATAAAATACACTGTCTGTTCTTCGGAAAAGCTGCAACAACTTTTCCAATGAACGTCTGTTAGAATGACTCCTGTTAGGATACCTTTGGGCATATACTCTTGACGCTAATAAACAGTTCTATTCACACTCACCGATTATCAAAATCATATCAATTCTTTCTTCCCGTGGATAAGTTATCATGTTACAATATTTCAAAATGACAATAATTTCAAACTATTTAAAACGATGATAATGGTTTGATTAACAATTTGTGTCACTGTCAAATACTTTTTGTTTCATAATAATAATTAACGTCATCTAGGCTAGAGCCTACTATTATTGAAAAAATTGTTGAATAAGTTCTATAGGAAATCGTAAATGTATGTTTTCATTGACCCCACATTGTAATTTTGATATTTATTCCACTATGGAGTCTAATATATTTGCTAAGAAATAAGCGAATTTAACATATTGTAACGAATTAAAGAATCAACTGTCTTAAACAAATTTATTTTAACAATACTTCACTATCAAAATTAATTTATATACACCACTTAACAACTAACGCTTAATTTATCTTCACTGTTTGTTAACTGCTCGATTCGCTTTCTAGATACAGACTCCCCTTATGGACGGAAAGCAGGGTTTATATACCGGTAACGATCGTTCTAGATTTATCTAGAGGTCTCTGTACTCGCCTATTCTTTTCGCGGCGATTCGCCATGATGTCATGCGTTTGCTGGCTGAGATATCGGCCAGGGCATCTACACCTTTGACAACGGCCAACAGCTCTCGACTGGTGACACAGTAATTGCGCTCTGGTTTACTGAGCGTTTTGCTGAAATAGCCAATAACTTTCTCCTGTCCATCCTGGATCTGAGAAAGGGCTGCTCCAAGTCTCACGTTGCTAGCGTCCGTATGTAAAATGAACTTTCCATCAGGTAGGGGATAGCTCAAAACAGGAGCGTTGATAAAAGCTCTTTTCAATTTTTCGAATGAGTCCTGGTTTTCCTCAGACCACCGGAACTGGATATTTTCTTCTGTGAGTCGGGTCAATGGTTTAGCGATGTTGGCAAACCCCAGCACATATCTGCGGTAGTAGGTGCATAAACCAAGGAAGCTCCGAAGCTAATGTATGTCTTTTGGAATGGGCCAATCCTCAACTGCTTTGATCTTTCATTCATCTACCACCAGAGACAACGTGGCCAAGGTAACGAACTTCTTTCTGGAACAGATGGCATTTCTTGGGACTAAGTTTCAATCCAGAACTCCTCAGATGCATGAATTCCTTCTCCAGATTCTTCAAGTGATCGTCGAACGATTTTCCGACCACGATTATATCGTCGAGAAATACTAGACACGTCTTCCATGAGAGCCCTTTGAGAACCGTCTCCATCAATCTCTCGAAAGTCGCTGTAGCACTACAAAGTCCGAATGGCATAACCGTAAACTGCCACAATCCTGAGCTGATGGTAAAAGCTGTCTTTTCTTGATCTTCTGGGGCCAATTCAACTTGCCGAAATCCACTCTTCAAATCCAAAGTCGAGAAAATTGTGGAGCCGGCTAGCGTGTCTAGAGTGTCGTCAATTCTTATAAGAGGGTAGCTGTCTTTCTTCGTCACGTTATTTCGTTGGCGATTACCCACGCAGAACCTTGTCGAGCCATCCTTCTCCTTCACTTAAACGACCGGGGAAGACCACGGACTGTCAGAAGGTTCGATGACTCCTGCTTTTTCCATATCGCTGACTATCTTGTCTGCCTCTTCTTTCTTGGCCGGAGGGAGTCTTCTAGCTGATTGCCGGATTGGTCGGGCATTCCCAGTGTCGATTCTATGCTGAACCACATTCGTTCTGCCGCCTTTTCCTTCTCCAATGTCGAAGATTTCCTGGTACTTCTTGACTAACTTCCTCAGTTTCGATCGGTGAGTTGGTGGTATGTCTTTGGAGAAAATGTCAATCAACTTCTTCAACTCTTTAGGCAAGTTGTTGGCTTGGCTAACTGAACTGCGTACACTCCTTATCACAGAGGAAATGGACGAATAGTGCCCCAGCATTGTTCCTTTCTTCAAGGTCACGGAAAAGTAGCTGACATTCATGACCCTGACCAGCACAACTTTATCAACATCAACACGCAACAGGGTCTTCCCCAGTGCGATTCCTCGTTCAATTTTCTCATCGTGTATCTTGGGCTCGAACATTACCACCTTGCCGCTGCTCGGACTTTCGTCCAAGCGAGCTTCCAGGATGGTTTCGGCCCTTTCAGGTACGCACACGTCTTCAGCAAACAGGACCCTGATCGTTTCTTCGCTTCTTCCATGAAGCACCAGCTCTTCTCCGCTAACACGTAGGAAGCCGTCTTGAAAATTCAGCTCGAACCCTCTGGAATTCATTATGACCATTCCAATAATAGCATCGTCCTCGATGTCCGCCACCAATGCACGATGTTTCAATTCAGTGCTGCCCAACACCAATTCAATTGGTAGTTCTCCAAGTACAGTGGCTGGCTCCCCTGTTGCGGTGCGTAGCTTCCAGCTTGACGGTTCAATTTTTGCCAGTGTTTTGGCAAAGGTTGGCCCAAGAATGGTTCTCGTCGCACCTGTATCTAGCAGCATGGTGCAAGGCTCGTTGTTGATGAGGCCGTCTACGAAAACACCTTTGTCTTGTCGTTGGAGAACGGCAACATATGCGTTTTTTACGGGGGCTTGCTGAGTACAGGCCGACGTTCACCCCTTCTCATCGACCCCCTCTAGTTTTCCTGATTTGGTGTCATTTTTCCCACAGTTACAGCATCTTGTTTCCTCTAAGGCAACACTTCTTTCATTACTTTTTTCAATATCAGCAGGTACTTGTCCATCTTCCTCGATAGCTCGAACTTTGCTCTGGCTCTTGCAGGATTGTTTTGCAGCCTCAAACTCCAGAGCGCTTGCCAGTGCATCCACGAGATGTTTGGGATGAGCTAGTGTCAAGGCCTGCCTCGTTTCTTGGTCGCGAAGTCCGTCCAAGAATGCCTGAACTGCTAACCGCTCCATTACATTTTCCGGTGTAGCAGGATATGCCAGACGAACCAATCGAGCAATGTCGGCTTCAAACTCCTGTAGGGATTCTCCTGATTTCTGACAGCGGTTCTTCAGCTGTGAATGATAAACGTGCTCTAGGGGTGCCTGTCCATACCGTAGCTCAAGATGTTTTATAAGTTGGTCATAGTCTTCCTGTTCTTTGGCCGTGAGGGTTTGCAAAATATTCGTTGCTTCTCCACGTAACGCCAGTGTTAATGCTACCGCCTTCTCTCCTGCATTCCATCCATTCGCTCTGGCCGCAGCTTCGAATTGCCGGCGGTAATTTGCCCAAGTAGTTTTTCCGTCGAACTGGGACTGCTTCATGGAGAGCTTTCCTGGTTCAGAACTGGCTTTGACATCTTTCAGTTCCGAAATGGAGTTTTCGGTAACCGTTTCTGTGGGGTGGGCAGAATTATCGATTTGGTTTTGCATCTTGCTAATTCTTTTCTTCATCTCGCTGATTTCTGCCTCAAATCCGTCTTTGATTTCATCGCGTAATTTTTCTTTCATTCTCCTCTATTCTGCCCCGATTTCATCTTTGATCTCCCCTTTGATTTCCTCTCTGATTTTGTCTATCTCTGCCTCGAGGGTACCTATTCTTTCTTCGAGTAGACTCGCCACACCACAAAGTTATTTCTTCAAGCCTTCTGCATTTTCTAGAAGCTTCTCCTCCAGGCACTTCAAATTTTGTTGAAGTTCATCTTTCAAACTCACCTAATTTTCGCGAAGCTTGTCTTCCAAACTCCTCGAATTTTCTAGAAATTTATCTTCCAAGCTTTTCGCATCTAACAGAAGTTTTTCTTCAAGGCTTACCGAATTTTGTTGAAGTCCATCGAGTTTGCTCATTATTGAACTCAAATCACCCCCAGAAACTTCGAATAAATATGATTCGGGATCTTCTCCTGGTTCAATCGAGTTATCCCATAGTCTCTTCTGGAGTACTGATTTCTTTCCGGAAGAATCTAGCTCTCTCTCCTTCAATTCTTGCTTCAATTCGGCGACTTTCAAGTCCACTAGGCGCACTTTCCTCGAACACATTTTGTCTCTCATTGTCTATTTTCCACGAAACAGAAAACGTCCACTTATTTTAATCAAGTCAGAAACACTTATTTATTTTCACTTCGCGAGAAAAGTCCATCAGTTTATGTTTCCGTAGTCCCGTACTGTCCACTTCGCGAAACAGAATGAATCACCAGACTCTCTGCGCGAAAGTTTTATAGTCAATTTCACCGTAATTTCACCAAGCCCTCATAAATTTATTTTGAAAATCCACTTCTGATCACCAATTGTAACGAATTAAAGAATTAACTGTCTCAAACAAATTTATTTTAACAATACGTCACTATCACAACTAATTTACATATATACACCACTTAGCAACTAACGCTTAATTTATCTTCACTGTTTGTTAACCTATCAATTCGCTTTCTAGTTTAGTTTAACCAATCAACTGTGGTGGCAGAAATTTGGAAAGCTAACCTGGAATGCCATCGGAAAACACATTCACATGTTTCTAGAAATGATTTCAAATCGAGAAAGGTTAATGCAGTCAAGCTGCTGGAAAATAATTCAATGAAAATGAAAAAATAAATAGATACAATACATATCAATTATTTCCAAAAGATGAATTGACAAATTGAAATATCGCTTCAGAGATAAACATAGGCAATAGAGAACTCAAAAAATGGTTTCATATATTTGTTTTCTATTGAAAAATACTGAATAAAGAAATAATCCGAATGTTTGTATTATATAAGAGATTTTAATTAAGAAAAATTGAAATATTCTTTCACAGGTTATACTGTATATACTTACTTATATACTTACTATTATACTTACTCATTATATTATGTTCAAGAATGTTTATATGATTTGAATTTGTGGTACCAAGTTGAAAAATCATATCATATTAAACTTATGGAAAATAAAAACTTTTATTAATCATTTCAGATATCATATTATGACCGAATGTTGGGCAGCAAATCCTTTGTCTCGTCCTTCATTCACAAAACTGTCTGACCGCATAGGGGCTATTCTTGAAGACTCGATGAGAAAGGTAAGACTAAGTTGGAATCAATGAAAAATTTGGCTATACAATAGAAGTGATATAAATGAGATGCACTAAAGACTTCACCTATCAAAAAGAATTATTTGA